ACGACGCGCTCTCGGTGTCCTTAACGGTCGTGGAAGCCACCTCGTACTGAACAGTCGGTATCTTTCTCGTAGTCAAGGACCGACAGCGGAGGAATGGTTCCGTGATATTGATTCGACCCTCGTGACGTCATACAGACTCACGGGGGTGCGTCCTACCCTCTCGCACTACCTCCATCTCGCTCCCTCTCGGCCTGTTAATTCGCACCCCTCTCTCGTTCGTCCACCTCCACTTCCCTCTCCGTGTCCTCACTCCTCTCTCGAACCCCTGACGGGATCGAAGCCGGGGGCGTGGACTCGGTGAAGAACCGCGAGTCTGCGCCTAAAATACCGCGACAGACATATCAGCTCCCCATGGCTCAGCCGTATCAACGGAAATCTCGCTGAACGGGTCTCTCTCTCTCTCTCGCTCTCTCTCTCGCTCTCTCTCTCGCTCTCTCTCTCTCTCTCGCTCTCTCTCTCGCGCTCTCTCTCTCTCTCTCTACAGTGTATAAGTATCTCGCCATATGATTACGGGCAAGGTAGGCTAGTTCGACTAATTATGCGAGTTAAAAAAAGTCCAGGTAGGTAGAAGCGCGCCGAGCACCATCGATTTGACCTGCCACTTCGTTCGGGTCATTAAAAATAAATAAACCCGATTTGACTAAAAATTGTATGGCTTGGGACATTCTAATTGTTGAATTTTCAGATAGGATATTTCGTTTCGTGGAGAAATGTATTGCAAATGTTTTAAGGTAAGATCGTTTCTGAACGACTGCGCGATTTCTTGAACAGAAATTAACGAAACGTGGAAAATTATACAGATTTCGCGATACGATATTAAGAAACACCGATATACAGAAATTTGTTGCTATGCGTTGAAAATAAAGTTTGCCAAGTGTTTGTTTGCAATGTGAGTTTCGTGTTCTTTCATTCACCCTATTTATTCTTTTATAGACACCGATCGATCGAAAGAACAATCACAGTTCTAGATGTTTACAATACATCTTGAACCACAATTTATGATATCCACGAATAGAGTTAATGAAAGTTCACAACTCAAAATAAAATAAAAACCAAGAATAATTGAATTGTGTATACGTGAATTACTAAAATTGTTACGTGCACAAATTCAATTATTTTATGTGCAAGTAATCACGCAACATTTTGCTATAGCATATAGCTATATATTTTTATTTTTAATTAAATTTTATAGTTGCATTGACTATGATCGTGGGCGACTTGGGGGAATTACATATTTTGTTATATTGAAGTAATTATTTTGTAGCAAATACGTTAAAATATTCGTGAATATTTATTGACACAATTATTCATGACGTAAAAAATGTGGGTAACGTAGGTACCATTGAGCAGCTGTACGGGATAGAGATCTACCGCGATGTGTGCAGGTCTTCCAGGTGAGACTGCGCGTACACGTAGGCGTAAACTGGAGGAAGGTAATGGTCGAGCATCGCATCAATGAAGGAGGAAAGGCGTATGACCTCACAAACGAAACACTATAAAACGCATAAACCTTGCGTTATAGATTGTAATCGTTGTTGTGCATAATAATGAATGAATTGACGTATACTATGTATAGTATTATTCAGCACAATTATATTAAAAAAATGATGGAATTTTACTAAAGAGGATGGTTTCGATAAAATTTATAGAGTTTATGTTTTGCCTCGCTTTTCTTAATGCGATATTTGCTTTTAATATTAAAATCTTTATGATTTATACAGATACCTAGCTGTGTATCACGATTGGAAATAAATGAATACTGAAAAAAATAATGCTCGTATATGAAATGTTCAACAAATTCAATATTTTTCATGATTTCATTTGAGAAAGAAGATAATGCGTACATCTGTACTATATTTAAAATTCTTTTGTATTGTGAGACTTTTATAAAATCTTCTTGAAAGACTACAAACGGAGTAATATAACAAACTCAATCGGGTTATTGCCTAATATAGCGTAATTGTTCTTAAATAGAGTAATTTTATGCTATTTCCCTAGAAGTTACATTTATACATTTTATAATTCGCAATACTTTCTATAACATTCTTTTACGAAGACTATTTACGTGTTCTTCATTGAATAAATAATTTTATTAAAATGTAAAAACATTTTTTGTTTAAGGACTTGATTATCTTAAAACCGTTAAAAAAAATTATTATTAAAACTTAATTACTATCATTACTATAAATCTTTCACAAAACTTTGATGTACTATATGGGGATCAAACATTCGTTCAAAGAATTTTACTCACGAAATTTTCACAGAAATTTTCCATTCGCGAGATTAATTTATCACGGATTTGGACAAGTAATTAAGAAACGTGATTGAACGAATCAATCGCTAATTGTATGGTAAAGCCAGAATCCGTTTATAAATTAAAACGGTATCTAGATAATTGACGAACATAAATCATTTCTCACATTCTAGATTTGTGTTCTGATTCGTATACGACTTTCGCATGACTTGTGTACTCGAGACGAATCATTCGTCGTCTTAAATAAAATGCATTCTTCGTGCAAGTTCATCCAGCAAGACATGGCCAATGCTGACGTCAAAGATGAAAAAGGCTGAATACGGGAAAAGCTATTAATGGTTGAGCAACGAATTGCGTCGCTGCCACGCTTGCTATAGGTCAACAGAAAGCATAGACAAATATAGTTGGTCTGTCTCGACCGGTAGACGACACGCTATAGTACGACAAAAAGCAAATATAGCAATTGGCTGTTCAGGCTAAACAAAGATACTCCCAGAATGAATCGCGAAACCGAATCTTTCTATATCTCTTCTGCTTCTGCATGGTCGATATCACTTGACCCACTCTTTCGGATCTAGAAACTGCACCTTCGCTTTTATATCCCGACTCCAGTACCGAACCACCCTCGATGTTCAAGAACTCGATTTTATCACAGAGCATCCTATAACACAAGACGCACTTAATTACAATAAATATATATAAGGAGAATTAAAGATATTTTTGGAAAATTTATTGCTTGAGCTTTTAATAAGAGGTCGTTGCCTTGTAATAATAGATAAGGAATAATCAAACATTCTGTTTCGTTAGTAATTATAACGTGCTTTGTCAATATATGTATATGTTACTGGCAATGTGTAAAATACAGATATTTTATTTAATGCCTGGGAAATCCATAGAACTCCATAAATGGGAATGAAATTGAAATAAATTGGCATAAATGGGAATGGTGCAAAGTATGAAATGCTTAATATTTCACAATTTCTTAAATTATAAATGTAACAGTCGTTCACTCTTAGTTTCCGAGATATTCGCAAAAGACTGTCAGTACTACTACAGTGAATGTTGTCTATAATTGTGAGACCGTAGCAGCGTATGCGTCAGAGCCAGCTTTACAGTGGCCGAATAAAAGATAACACCTAACCCAAACTTATATAAACTATAAACAAAGAATAAGAATTTGGTTTAGATGAAATAGTATTATTATTATTATTATTATTATTAATGGGCAGTATTATTTTAAAGTATGGAAAACGTGGTAACTATTTAGAAATACTGCTATCTCACCGATTTCGATGATTTTTGAATATGTTGTAGATATTTTGAACTAATACTAACGCATATGCTGTCATGGACGCACAATTTTGACAAAATTCACTACAGTAGTACCGACAGTGTTTCCCAAATATCTCAGAAACTGGAACCAACCTGCGACTGTATGTATAAGAAAAAATTCTTCAAAATGTTGAGTTCAACAACATACCTAAATTTCATCAAGATCAGCGAAGTGTACCCTTACATGCACAATCATCGCCCCTTCTTCAATAAAAGAAGTCCTGTATTTTACTTCGTATTTTACTTCTTTGTACTTTACTCCTTTCATTTTCATATACCTTGTCCTTGCCACATATCTTTTGAACGAAGGCTTTTTCATAACTCTCTTCCCATATTTTGCATAACTATCACTTCTTCTTCCTTATAATGCCGAGGTATTATATACAATGCCTGGGGAAAGTACAAAATATATTAAAATAACACGGTCACATCATCAAGTAATATTATATACCATTTTATATTATTATATTAAATACAATTTTATTATGTTAAGTATATTATATAGTTTAGTAATATATATATAGTTAATATTGTAAACTTTATATAGATTTTTAAAGGTATTTTTGTTTATAAATGAATTTAGGAAGAGATTCGTGGTTTTTGCTGATAACAGCAACACACTTTATCTTGAGAGAGAAGTAGTCTGAAGCAGAAAAAATGTTTGTCGCATGATGATATTTTTATAATTTTTCGAAATAAGTTTTGTCACGTCTTATATACGTTATCGTGTCGTTACATTTTGTACCATGGTTTATTCATATTTTAACCGACAGATACAACAATTTCTTTAATTTATTAAATATGTTCATATTGCCTAACACTCGTTCGCAAGCGTTTGATCATGCGCTCTAATTAAAAAGGATAAAACAACAGACGCTGCTAAGCAAAGGGGATTCGATTAGGGTTACCTCCTCTGTCAAGTATCTCATGAAAAAGTCAAGCAGTCCACATCGTACGAACCGGGGAATTGAAAATTGCCACGTGTCAGGTGAAGCACCAGACGACAATAGGCACGTGCAGTCTGGAATCTCGTAACCGGATACGCTGGAACCGGGTTCCACGGGTATCAAGGGTGGTTCGAATTCGTGGCTCTTCCAGATATAAACTGAACCCGTTGTGTTACACGTGATGTTCTCGTAGATTGCAAATGGGTGTTGGGTTCGAAGTACAGGTCGCAATCCTTCATGCATATAACACGTTGTCGTACATCGTGCGTTGTCTTTGTAAAATTCGTTGCATAAATTACTATATCGCTTACAGGTCAGAAGCAAAGAATATAATAAATATATTTCTGTAAATTATCTTAAAAAGATTCAAACAGCATATTTTAACATAAAATAATTAAAAGTGGGAAGAACTTGTCAGGTCCAAAGATATGATTAAAGAAGTTTCTTAGAAGTCAAATATGTAATATAACTTAAAACAAATAATATTTTAATATTCTGACGAATTATCTTTAAAGTTATGAGAAAGGTGGAAGAATATGTGTTTAGTGCCAAATAAAAGGACAGTCTTATGCTATAGACTGAATTAACAATGTACTAAATTTTAAGATTGCCCTCCTATAAGAAATGGAACATTATTATATTACATAATTATCAAATCACCCTAAAATTTTCAATTTATTTAGAACAATTTATATAGAACTGGATACGCCACGACAAAATCTAATTAGAAGCATGCATAAATCAAACAAAATTGAATAATAAAATACTTTCCATAATAAAATATAAGATAGAAGCACCTTATACATTAATAACAATTATCATTTATCATTATTTACAGACACGGAGATACATATTGCGATATATTCCTGCTCTAATAGAATTTTCGCATTTGTACGTATTTATATTTGTACATTGTGTTCTATGTTACTCGTTATTATCTGATAATGAAACAGGGACTAATGACATACCTTGTTACCATAGGTTGACAGAGATGAATGAAGTAGCCTTACCTCACATGGGAAGTCCTTCCAAAGAGCTCTACAACTCTACTACAGGGCAGAGTTTTTTTGGTGTGACAGTAAGAGACCACAGAAATTCATAGAACAGTGCTTCACTATAAATGGATATTTGTTACCCAAAAATGAGCTGTTTGTAGTTAGTTTGAAATAGACATTTTCAAAAAATATAAATATTTTTTTGCAAAATTTCCATCACTATATTCCAGTATATATATTTACTATATGTATACGTTCGTTACGTTTATATCAGTATTATCATATATAATCTTACATAATAAATAATGTTTTTATTATGTTGTAGTATGATATGATTTGATTGATGATTCGATGATATGATTGAGTATCATGATATACTCTCTAATAGCAGTAAGATATTTATAATTTTAAATCGATAAATAAACCGCATCACTTAATCACAGCAATGAAGAAAAGCGAACGTTATGAGTGTTTAATAAGAGAATCGTTTGTTACAATATAAATTAAATTACAGCTCCTTCAATTAATACAGTTTCTTTCAAGTTTACGATATTTGAGATTATTGAACTTACTGTGCTATTAATATTTTAATTTACTCTGTATATCTTACTTGTGATTTATGTTCATAATTTATGTAAAACCAAGTTCAATTTCTAGACTAAAATAAATAAATACATACAATATTATAATATACATACATGCATATTAACCATTTCTATAGTTTCAAAGCTTTTTCCAACAAGTTAAATTTAAGGAATTCGCTTAATTTGAGGAATTTTCCAAAAAGATACCTTTATGGAAATTTTTTTACAAGAGAATCAAACTAAAAAGATTATGTTTCCAAAATTTAATCTGATTTAGTATCACATATTAATATGATCAGAATATATCAATGTTATATCTATCATTATAGAAGAAAATTTATTTTAAAAAATACAAAAATATTGAAATGATGAAATAAATAATAGTGTTAGTAGTTACTTAATTCATTTACAAAAGATAATAGAACAAAATGGTAGATATACATATATACCACTTATTAAATAGATCTCACAAACTTGTTACATGATTCGATATTTTAATAGCTTAAAGCAAAGTTGAAGCACATTATAAAATATCATCTTACGATAAACAATTTTAATAATAATAAATTTATTTGTCTCACTTAAATAGCACAGTAATGTAAAAGCTTTTAATCTTACCACATCGAAGACTTCATCTGGTGGATGAGGCAAAACGAGCTTCCGATCCTTTACATTCGACACATTGCAAACAGTCCATAGGATAAGACAACGCAACCATTTTTGTCTTTGCCTCTCGTATTTGTCATTTCCGAACATTTTGGAATTTGCTAATTTTATGAGAAATGATGTTGAGAATCACCTGGTTGCAAGAATGATACCAGTGTTAGCGAAAGTAACAATCTGGCAAATGCAACGAAGTGAAAAAATCAATTTTATTTCTGAAGAAGCTCTGAAAGATAAGAGAGATAAGTAAATTTATATTAAATTCATTTGAAAGCAAAAACAAATATAAACTCTATCGATGACGTGAATTACCTACCAAAAAATAATTCATCAATTTTCAAGCTGGACGTCGTTGAAATTTAATTTAAATTAATATCATAATTAATATGATCCATAACAATCTTAGATCGTTATATAAACAAAATGTTTATCATTATCTTATAAAATATTTAAATTAATGCATCCCCAAACGTTGTTGTTAATTACAGAACTATGCATATAATTATAAGACCATAAATCATTAAAAATACTAAAAGAATGAAAAGAGATAGTTATGGGAATTGCTGTACAAAAATGGCAAAGGGACGCGAGAAAAGGAGCACAATCTAAGATATATCTACAATAATTACAAACACGTATAATTTAGCAAGCGTGAGTACTAACGTTCTTATGAAATATTTATCTGCGTAAGGATTCTCCACGTGTAAAATTTAGTAGTACGTATGTTCTTACACAACGCGCTCAAATCCAAGAGATTCCAACTAATCCTTAATTAAAATTATAATTGCCCAACAAATTTTTTCTTTTACACTACAAATTCGTGAGTTTTTAAAATTCGCGTATAATTACTACATGCAATTTTAATCACAATGACAATAGCACATTAAGATGGTTAATGATTAAGAGCCATTATAATTACCAATTCAAACGTATGTATAATATTAAAGTTTTAACGTTTTGCAGAGATTACAAAAATATTTAAATACTGAATTACCTATTATATTGATAAGTCTAAACATTCAAAGGCCCATTTTTAACATTTATTACATGTTTAAGATGGCTACCCATGATGCATACTAATATTTTATTAAGTATTATATGTACACGTTAATTCATACGTAAAATGTGCGTACATACATATATGTGTTTGCAATAAATCTTTTATAACTTCTATATACATTTTCAGATCCTCAGAAATTTGGCCAATATAATCGTTACAGCCGTGTTTCATAACATCGCAAATGATATTTCTAAATGTCTTATGTAACGCATATAATATGGAAGTTATATGATATAAAAGTTATATTATAATAGAAGAGTTTTCTAGGACAAGTATTGAAATATGTACTTCGTGGATCGATATATTTCTACATATTAAATCCGATTAATTGCGATGTCGATCAATCACAACCTCGACACGAATACACATCTCGACGCACGATTTCAAACGTCCGGCGACCAGTAGCTTCTGAAAAAATGTGCGATTAACGATCGACATGATTTTTCTAAAGTATAATATTTCTGCGAGGCAGAGGGTGCCTACGTTTGCTACGTTCAACAAGGGAAGAATAAGATGTTCTCCAAGTAGGAAGCAGTTGTCGATGAACAAAGTGGGTCACGAGCTGCGACCTCCGCGTCTTTTACACAACCTCGAGGATTCCGCTTCTCCACTTAATTACCTTCACGTCCTCTATGCATGCGACGCGAATTTTAACACATCAAACGCAGCTACCGTGACGAGGAAAAATATTTCAGATAATGGAGGAACCAAGAATTCTTCACGAAAAGGAAGTTGTACGAGATCCTCCGATTAGGAAGGAAAAATGCAATTTTCTATAGGAACGATTTTTAGTATTTTTTAACATCCTTTGCAATCACTATCTCGATATCATTGTACAATCGGTATTTCAAAATTTACTCTTCCCATTATTTAGGAGATTGAACCTTTTAACTTTTAAAAACTACTAACTTTTTAAAAATTCTATCGATTAACTGTATTTTGACGTGTTACTGGAAATCTCAATGAGTGCTTTATCGCGTTTGCAATATTAATTAATTTTCTATTGATAAATAAGAACAAGAAAAAAAGATGGACAATTCCGGTGTTATTATTCCAAATTATTTGTGCAATATTGATAGCTATATTAATCTATCCACTCACGTTTATATATTCGCAAAACTAATAACGGTGCAGTGCAGTCATATAGAAGGCTACTTGAACTATACCAGATGATACAGGAGCAGGAATATGTTTCCATAGCCCAGTGAAAGAAGATTGGACATGATATAAGCGCAACACTACTTTAACTAATTAGTTATTTACTAAAACTAATTAAAACAATTGCAATGGAAGAACGCAACGCTAATTCTTAAAACAAGAATAAAATAAATATCCATATACATATAATGAAAAAGCTATTTCACATATCGTGTTACTACAAACTGCGATATTACAAAATCAATGAAACATTTAACATCTCTAAATCCAACTTTAAATAAAGAAATTTTAATGGACACAAGAGAAACTCCAATATGAATTACTCTCTCAGAAATTCTGACTATTCATAATCAAAATTGCTACGGACAATGGCATTATGGCGATGGCATAATTCGTAACATTAAAATAAACACGATTATCATCTTTCCGCAAGTCTAATTCAAACCGTAATCAGTCCCTCGCGACGCTAACAAAAAGCCGCGAAACTTTTTCGCAACTCTAATTCAAACCGTAATTAATCTCTTGCAACGCTAATGAAAAAAACCGCGATTTATACGATGGTGGACCGCCGTATACATAGACCGAAAAAATACTACAACTACAAATGCTAAAAGAGAGCGTAGTTGCAAAGTAATAACGAGAATGACTCTCCATGCTTTGGCTGATCCAAAGGGTGGAAAGCCATTAGTAGTTGTGTCTCTCCTATGGTAATTTTTCCAGGTCTCTTCGGCTCGTAACGTCTTCTTTTTCGAATACAATGCCCACTGAAACTTAAATCTAGCTCGAGACTTTCTAATCGGGAAACAAGGAACAACTTTTAAAGATAAAATAAAATATAAATCGCGGAAGCTAATTCAAGTGCACATTATAGTGATCGCTGTTCATTTACATGTGCATGTAAATATCGAGTAGTATACGTAATCGTTTGTTTCGAGATCTACTCACGACCACAATCGCGAAATTTGAAAAATTGGTAGGCAAATCAGAGGCGAATGGTATGTTCCACTCGTGACACAAGCTTCGCCGTCAATCTTTTAAATCAAATTTATCGAAATAGATTGGACCACGCGAGAACGCGCCTACCCGATCAGAAACTATGCCAACCTGTCCGGCACTATCTATTTATAATTAACACTCACGCTAGGGGGTATGCTACCTATCCTATCAAGTCCTATATTTAAGAAATAACAAAACAGATATACCAACACGCTCGCTCCAGGCTTCTCACACATAACCCGAACGTAAGAACCTACATTAGAAAGACGTCCCGGAACACCTTCGACACCGGAGTTTAGCACACAACTTTCACACTCTAATTTACGTACTATTTTCCTGAAATCAACTGACGATGTTTAGAGACCATTTCATAAAAATATCATGCATGTTTCAACCTTAATAAAGTATATTTGAATTTAAATTTTAATTAAATATTTATAATCGTATATAATCATGTATATATCATTCAAAAAAATAATTTTACTAGAATAGATCATGATATCTAAATCAATTCTATCTAACTATCATTGTAATTTAATACTAAGATTAATATTACTATTTATAATCTGCTATACATATTTATTAGCATCGTTATTGTCAATTGTAATTGGATTCATATTTGCGAATTTATAAATATTTTTAAATTATAATGAATAGCAAAAGCGATGCAATTCCACAGCCTAACCACACAAACGGTCGTGCACCATACTAACGCAACATCAGTCACTGAAAAATTGTTAAACTCACAAACTAGTCATCATGCCCATTGCTTTTCTCCCATCCGACTAGAACCTAGGCACGTGAGTACCTGGAATTAAACATGGAAGGGATTAAATCTGAAAATCGAAGGCTAAAACTATGATTAGCAATAGTATTTATATCTATTACACTTTGCATCTAACGGGATAATTAATAAAACATTATATGATATTATATAATACATTATATAATTATATAATTAATAAATCACTTCATTCAAATTTTAATAACTCTACTTTACATTTTACTTTACTTTATCCATTTGCAAATAATATTTATATCAAAAACTGTAAATGAAATATTAATAAAAATATTCTTGAGCGATTCCTTCGTCAAAATCCATCTTTGAAACACAAAGAGTCATTCAAAACTCGTTTTGATTCTAGAATCTGCCTGTTGCGAAGTGTCTTCTTGGACATAAAATTTGGTATATTTTAACGGACGGACAAAATTAGAGTTTAATACCTCCATGTTTCATATTTGAAAGTTTACTGAAATTATGCTGTCTATGGAACTCAAATAATAAAGCTGTTTCATTGTAAAATAAAACATAAAATTAAATATAATCATCACTAGCATTACAATAATAATTTCAACCATAATTGAATAAAAATTTGCATAATAAGGCAGTCAAATGGCATCAGGCTTTCCCACTATAAAATATTTAAAAGGCTCATTTCGTTATTTACTTCAATATTGTTGTACATGCTTGTGCGGATTATTTAATCTGTATAAGTAGACATATTGAATATATGTAATTTAATTTTATAAATAATTTTAACATTTTATTATTCATACAAATTCTTCATGTTGTAATATGTAAACATTGTACTCATATATTAATGCATTACCACCAACATTTAAAAACGCGATGTACAAGGAAACCTATCCTGAACTAACAAATAAAATACAGACAAGAAAATGTTACTATTCACAGGTATAATAAATATCCGTGGGCACTATGCTCGTCAAAAATTCTACGTAATATAACCAGTCATCCGTGACAATTCGGACCTTCCATCCTACAACATGATTGATAGACGAGAGGAACAAAAATGCATGCGACTTACGATTATATACGAACAACGTTGTCATCGATAATGTTGCCCAAGAGAAATTCTCATTAAATCATCTTAAGAGAAATTCTCATCAAGTCGGAATTGTCGAATTCAATGAAGGAAATGAAGGTTGGAAGAAACCTATAACAAAGCATAAAGTATTATTACTTGTTGTTAGTATTAGTGTTAATTATTTTGAAAGTTTGTAATGATAAAAGTTTGATTTCTATTAAATAATGAATTTCGTGTTAATATTCAATTGAAGAATAAGAGGTTTACACTTATTGAATTTTCAATTAGATTCTATTCTGTAATTAATAATAATTATTGTAAAATATAAGGAGGAGAATTAAACGAAATAAAATAAAATTTTATTTACATTCTTGACTTTTCAAGCACCACTAGGTCCTTTTCGAGGAGCAAAAAAAAGAGGAAGCAGTCAAATACCTTTAACAAAATGTGAATTATTATAATTTGTTTTGAAAGAAGTAATGATTGTTCGAACAATTTAAGATAATGAAATATAAAACTTTACAGCAAAATTAAAATAAAATATCGCATAATTATTATTACCGTAAAATCGAACGATTATTATCAAACTATATTTCTTTTGTTAATGATATATGAAAGAAAAGAAAAAAAAGGTAAAAAAGATCATCAAGGGAAAAGAAGGAAAGAAAAAAATCGAGGGCAGTGAAAAGAAAAGAATTTCACTCCAATAATGATTTGTACTTCTCGACGTAACTTTGATTGAAAAACAATAAACATCTATTCACATTAGAAAACGACAAATCACTATAAATTGTATTAGATTATGAATGTAAAATGTATGAAATTAAGATTCTCACTATTTTGAAGGAGTGACTTGGTTTTGTATATTAAATTTTCCACATTTATGACGAACTATCGACAGTTGCTTCCTCTTCTCAATATGACACCGCGCGAAATGGTGCAATTTCAAATTTTAATTTCAAAATTTACCAGCAGGGTGCGTTTGATGCAGGAACGTTATCTAGTTCTCTTAGTACCCGGATGTTATTCAGATGATTGAAATTTCGATATTCATCTAAATAGAACTCTACATCGAAATACAATATATCAGTATAAATTGTGTTAATTAATCGTTTTATTACTAGGTCTACCTAGGGTATAGTTAAATTGTTTCTTTCTAAATGACAACGATGAAAATACGAGAATTTTCGTAATCAGCCTCAGGCATTAAAATAAAACGAGAATGCTCATGGATTTCTTCGTCTGCAATATGTTAAAAACTGCAAATATAGAATAATTCAAATTAAGATTCTCACCATTTTGAAGCAATGAGATGGCAATGTGTATTAAATTTTCCACACTTATGACGAACTCTCTGCAATTGCTTTTCCCAACCTTTCAATACGACATCGCGCGGAATGATCTAATTTCAAAATTTAATTTCTATTTCTGCCACCAGGGTGCAGATGATACAGGTAACTACATATCGTATAGTATATATACGTATTATCCCCTCTAGTATTATGTTTATCAAAAGGGTAGTAAGCTCTTGATACTTAATCAAGTGGTTTTGATATTGTGATATTAGTGTTTGATATTTATGCTGTTTTTTTGTATTAAGAGGTATCGCTATTCTGGCATATTGTCGTCTTAAATATAAAATATAAGTGATGGATAATTCTACGGCACAGAGTGTAGAACAAACTTTTGGTAAAACGTTTCTGCAGTTCGTATTTTTTTTAGTTTATTATTATCTTAATTACTTATTTACATTTTTGTACTCTTAATTCTTTTCCTTTTTTCCCAATTAGATACTGTTTAGATAATAAAATATTACTCAAACGTGATAAATGTGGTGCTTTTGAAGTGTCTGGGACATCAAATAATATTAGAACTTTATCAGACTGTTTATATATTATTGACAACATTAAATTGGAAACAAATAAGAAACTAAAAAAGTTACAAAAAGAAGCATTGACTGCAGACTATTCACCCTGTATGTATTATTTACTAAATTTCATATTTATGATATTTCAAATAAACTTTGTTACTCATATCATTTATATCATTAAGTATACCTAAATTTATATAAACTCAATATGATTAACAATTTAAAAATACCATAATATAGATTAGTAATAATAGATTACTATTTTAGATTCAGCTCTAATAAAGGCTAGAACTAAAACGAACAAAAGTAAAGTGAAAAATATTTTTAAAAGAAAATGTGTATGAATTTATGATAAATGAGTAAGGAATTAGATATTTATTTATACAACGCATTTTCATTATAAATGTTACACAAATTTGAAAGACTGTCTTCTCAATAAATATAAAAATGGAAATGAAATATATAACTTTATTGTAAAAAATAAACTATGATAAATAATATTGTTGTTAACACATTGAATGCCACAGGAGTCGCCGGTAACTGGCATTCAACTTGTCAGTAGCACTGTGAAGACCACTGGTGACGACGTACCAAGATTAGTAGAAACACATAATTTGAACAAATATCAATAGTTATAAATTTTATTACCATTATTAACATCATTACTGCAATGGTGTGATAAGATTAATGTGGTATAAAACATATAAAAGTAGTTTTATTTATACATTAAATATAAACCTATAATATTTCAACATTATATGTATCACATAATAAAAAATTCATCATGGTACTACAGGCAATCTCTGCAAAACTAGCATGGCATTCAACGTGTTAATTATTCCATTCTATTTCAGTCCTTATTTCACTTTTAGAAAAATTTAAGAAAACTCATGAAAAATTCCATTATTTTAATGTTTTGAAGCATTTAAATCATAAAAAATAATTTAAACAACTAAAATCAGAATGTAAATATAAGTTAATAAAAAGCAATTGAAGCCATGTTTTGATATTATATTCTTTAAAAATATTCCTCTGAATCTATTTAGAAAGTTATGAAATTTAAGAAAAGTACAAAGAAATATATTTCAGGTATTGGATATATCATGCTTTAAACTATTTAATTTGAAACCTTTTATTGAAAGATTAAATGTACATAATTACATTCTTTTAACAAAATTAGTTATATTTGATGAATTTGCAGCATATGAATATATTTTTATAATATTTATATCCAACTAAATAAGGTAGTAAATATAAACGAAACTTGATTGCTGTGGCTATAATCAAATTTTGTTTACATTTAGCACCCCCTCTTGTTGAATAGACCTTTTGTCAGATTTCTTTTAAAAATATTACATGCTTATTTTCGTATAACATCAGCTTCTGGAAATAATAATGGAACATTATATATCATACATTCAACTTGGAACTCCATCCAAAGGAAATTTAAGAAAGGAATAAGTTCAGAAATCTTGCAGCCTGATACAAAATGTAATGAATGGAAGCCGCTAATAGGTAAATATATAATAATTTCTAAAAATTCTGAAAATTCTACTACTTATATTTAAGTTAAAGTATATCAAACCAATATATGTAATTACACTATTTAAGTATAGGTAAGTAATTTTATATTATGGCAAGCAAACTGATTAAAAAATTATTTTCTAGGTATTATACCATTTACCGTAAGAAACCTGAGATAAATCATTTGAATATAACATTCAAATTTTTAAAACAGTTGCATACTGTAATATTTAGAATCGCTAATTTTGAAAATAAATGGGGAGCAATTGTTCAACACAGACGTGATACAGTAACAACACATTTATATTTTATATCCTATAACAGGTCTTTTTGCTCCTAAAATATAAGGTACAGTTACTTTCAATTTTATATTTTGATATATTTAGAAATAAGTACCAAAATTCTTACTTTATATTTTAGAGAAATTATATAACATTAAACAATCACTCTCTTCCTAAGAATCTTCTTGAAAATTTCATACTCAAGTATTTGTAATAGTATTATGCGATTATAAGTAAAAGATTTGTTGATGAGATGTATGTTAGAAACAATATTTTGCTGATCCAAATTTGTTATTACCCCTATTTGGTACATTATATTTAAGTACAAATATGAATTGGCAACAAGTAAAAAAAGCTGGTTACTAAAAAAAATTTCTGCTCATTTCTTGTCAAAAATTATGAAAAAAAATTTTAAGAAAATTATGTTATTAAAATACTATAAATACTATCTAAAATTAGTATCTGAACTTACAAAACATGATATTTTAATTTATAGGTAAAAATAGATGAAAAGATTAATGTCATAACAAAAGGAGTGGTTCAAGGTTCAATTATATCACCTATTTTATCAGATATATATTATAATTTTATATTACATAAGGCAACAAATTTAACAATTGGTACAGTTATAAATATGTAAATGATATTTTATATGTTACTGTAAGTGAAACTTATAAGATGGTAAGATATACAATCACCTAATAAACTCATAAATATATTGTATTTTATTAATTATTTTTTTTCATGGAATAGATTTTTACAATTAACAAAAAAGGAGTACCATGATATAATTGTATTTTTAAATCATCAACGACTCAAAGTAATATGGCTTATGATGGAACATAGTTGTGGACAATATTGCTTACATTGGCTATAAAATGAATCATCCGTTTTAAAAAATTTCATTGACAATATTACAACTATACAATGAAATTTTCTGAAGTGGGTGATCTATATTCTTTAGTGTAAGTAATTGTGTGAACTCATGTATAATAATAATAACTTATTATATTTTGGGCGTTGTGCCCATTACAAGGAGATTTTCTGGCAGTATTATCAGACAGAATATTATTTTTTCTTTATCTTTCTCTTACAACTATTCATACCTTATTTTATATAATCTATATTTTTATTTGTATAAAATTATAAATTTATTATTATTAAATATACGGCATTAGATATGCATTAAGCAGTTGGTGTTCAAAATCATCCACAAAATTCAGAAACAGGGCGATTCATACTAACCTGCCGATCCTCGCATACATCGCGTCTGCACAGGCCAGGCTTGAGCATTGATTTGCTATGATATTATCGATCATCGATCATCGTTATTATTAAGTTAAGCACGTGGAATTTGCACATGCATTGATCATCTCAGAATATTTTAATACGAAAATAAGATATTTATTTAAACAAATAATATATAGACAGAAAGAAAATATTAAACTAATCAAAAACAAACTAAACATGTCTCTCTCTACACGAGGACTTCTGATTTCACTTTTAACTTCAGTTCTGCCTGAGCCGCCGAGCTAGACAGATGTGAGAAACTGTGCTTCAGTGAAAGTGCAACAAGCAGCGAATTTAGGTGAACGAAAAGACAACAAACACTGGCAAATGGTAAAGCTACAAAATGCAACAGCAAATACCACGAAAAATCACCACGTCAAAATAACGAACGAAGGTGAAATATATTACATAAATAAAACTATTAAAAAAATGGAAACGATTCAAAACCAAGAAGGAAATAGCTATGATGACGAACTATCATACCAAGATGAACACTGGAAGACAGCCACAGTGCACAAAACGCGTAAAATAATACCAGGTTCAAGTGCCATGAAAACTTCACATGCAGAAAAGCAACAATGGCTACAAGATATCCCACTCCAAAATTCATTCGGTTCATTAATAGAAGAAATAGATACGGACCCAAAAGAAAAAGTCACAACTCATATCGTTAAATCACCACCGATCTACATAGATGCCCAAATAATAGATCCACTAATCAAATACACACTAACAATAGAAACATCAACACTTTTGGTAGCCAAAGTTAGCCAAAGCACAAGTAACTAATCAAACACCACCCTTAAACAACCAAAACAACAACAATAACACTACAGAAATCAAGGAACTGCTCAAGGAATCCATCAAAAACATTGAAATTCTAACAAAAATGATAAGTGAACAAAATGCAGTACTCAGACAACAAATTGCAGTCATGCTACAACTACTTACAAACATGTTAAGTGAAAAATAGAAATGGACACGCTGAAAATTATAGCTTGGCACTCCAATGGCCTACAACAATGGGCCCTCGGAACTAAACATTTCTGTATAACGATAATATTGACATATTACTTGTTTCAGAAACACATTTCACACCAAAAAGCTATATGAAAATACCATATTACACCATCTATGATACCAAACACCGCTCAGGAAAAGCACACAATGGGGCCGCAGTAATAATAAGAAATGATATTAAACTATTTATGTAGTGAAATTAGTCAGGAAAACGTTCAAGCAAGCACCGTTACAATACAAACTAACAGCAGTTACTTCCAAATGTCAGCAGTACATGCACCACTACGATACAAAATGACATTACAAAAATGGGAACAGTATTTTCAATCCTTAGGTAACAAATACATCGCAGTGGGAGACTTCAATGCAAAGCACACTCTATGGGGCTCAAGAATTAAGATACCTTGAGGTAGAACACTAGAAAAATATATTAGAACTAGTAATCTCAACATGTTATCCACAGAAAGACCAACTCCTGACTTGCTTGATTTTGCAGTTATAAAAGGACTAAAGGCAAACAAATTAAAAATAATACCCAGTCTTGAGCTTAGCTCTGATCATACACCGATAATAATAGAATACACAAGCAAACCAATATTTTATAAAATCCAAATCAAAGTCGCTTTGCACTAAAAACACCAAATGGCAAACATTTAAAGAAGTAATCATGAGCAAAATCAACTGCAATATTGCACACTAACACCAACACCGTTAGAAACCGAAGCTACGCGCAAGTAGTCAACCAGTCGTCACCCTTAGACAATCAAGAACAGAACAACCACAGCAACGACGCTACAGAAATCAAAGAGTTAATAAAACATTCCATAAAAAACACCGAAATACTTGCAAAAATGATAAGCCATCAAAACGAACTCCTCAGACAGCAAACACAGCAGATAACAGTCATGTTACAATTACTTACTAACATGATGAGCAAAAAATAAAAATAGACACGCTTAAAATAGCAGCCTGGAACTCTAACGGCCTACAACAAAGGGCCCTAGAAACTGAAACATTCCTGTACAGTAATAACATCGACATACTACTCGTAACAGAAACACACTTCACTACAAAATGTTACATAAAAATACCGTACTACATCATATATGATACCAAGCATCCCTCAGGAAAAGCACACGGAGGGACCGCAGTAGTACTAAGAAACGACATTAAACACCACTTACACAGCCAAGTTAATAAGAAACATATACAAGCAACTACCGTTACTGTACAAACTAGCAGGAACCATTTACAGTTGTCAACAGTATATGTACCACCGTGACACAAAATTACATCACAAATGTGGGAAGAGTACTTTCAACACTTAGGTGACAAGTATATCGCAGCTGGAGACTACAACTCAAAGCACACACTATGGGGATCAAGAATCACTACACCTCGAGGTAGAACCTTGGAAAATTACATTAGAAACAATAACCTCAATATATTATCCACGAGAAGACCGACATACTGGCCGACAGACCTGAGCAAAATACCTAACCTACTTGATTTTGCAGTTACAAAGCGACTAAACGCAAATAAACTAAACATAGCATCCAGACTTGAGCTTACCTCCGATCATACACCCATAATAATAATACAGAAACAAACCAATACTTTACAGCAATTCAGAGACACTATGCAATAAAACCACTAAATGGCAAACATTTAAAGAAACAATTGAGAGCAAAATCAGCTGCAACATCCCATTGAAAACATCTGAACACATCGATCAAGCAGTAACAACATTTACAGAAACTATTCAAGAAACAATAAGGAACCAATATACCTGAATCAACCAACAGATAAGCAAAAATAATTCCACTAGACATCCTCGAAAAAATTAGAGAAAAAAGAAAAGCGAAAGCAAAATAGCAAAAACACAGAACAAAAGAAAACAAAAAACACCTAAACAAACTCACAAAAGAAATAAAAAACAAAATAAAAGAGCACAACAACAACGAGTTCACAAAGTTCATCGAGTCATTATCTGCTCAGGAGAACTACAACTACTCCCTATGGAAAGCCACAAAAAAAATAAAGAAGACAACAAAAATGGTATCAGCAATCAGAAGAGCAAACAACACATGGGCAACGAAGAGCAAGCTGAAGAATTTTCCAACCACCTATGCAACACATTAACCTTCCGCCAAAAGCGATAAGACAAATCACAATAATAGTAAACGCAATACTAAGAATACAATACTTCCCAAAAACTTGGAAACTGGCACAAATCGTAATGATACCCAAACCAGGCAAGGACTCACACGAAACCAAGTCCTACCGACCAATCTCACTACTTCCGGTGTTCTCTAAGATACTAGAAAAAATAATCTACGACCGGATAAAACTAATAATAGAGAAGAACCATCTAATACCGGACCACCAATTCGGATTCAGAAACAAACACTCCACAATAGAACAAACGCACAGACTCGTCAATGAAATCCTACACACATTTAGGACAAAAGCTGCCTGTCCGTTTGCAAAAATCTTAATTGCCGAAAAAACCCAGGTTTTATAGCGGGTCCCCGGGCTGGCTGGACTTGTGCTGTGTACGTGCCTCAACATCTGGTATTCATTGTCCGAAGGGACCGTTGGAATGTTTTACTGTCAAGTACCTCTATGAGTATTTCTTTTAATGAGGGTCATACTATAACTCCGCGCCTTTGTTAGACGAAACGCCCGTCCCGTTGACCGCGGCTACGTTCGGCGACTGATGGTCGCCTTGAGCCCAAGTTTATTATCGTAAATCGCAAGCAGGTAGGATTGGGTAAAGTGACGACAAATCGTTTAGTTATAACTGTAAACTTTAATTACAAGTTTATGGGTTTTTTTCCGAGGTTCCAGAAGGAAGGCTCCGGTGTCCTTTCATCCCCGACATATATAAAATGGTCATAAAACCAATCTGGACGTACGGAATAGCACTATGGGGAACAGCAGCAATGAGCCATATAACCAAAATAGAGGCACGCAATCGAAAATACTCAGAACAATAGTAAACGCGCCATGGTACGTTAGGAACGAGGACATACGGAAAGACCTGGGAATACCAACGGTCAAGGAGGAGATTAACAAAAGTGCAAGAAGGTACGGAGAAAGAATAGCAACGCACCTAGGAAAAAGAATATCCTGGAAACTACTTTAGATAAAAAAATTCAGGCGCTTTGAGAGAAATGTACTTTTTAGAGAAATTAAACTACATCAATAGCTTATATGCAAATCACCAAAATATTTTTGGTTTTCTATACATGAATGAGATTGGGAATTTAGATGATGAATATTTATTAAAGTGTTGTCAAGATCTTCACTTACATTTGGAAGGAAATTTCGACGGAACTGAATTGTTTGAAGAAATTAAGATGTTCCGGTCAATAACGCAAACTAATTATTCGGTTTTAGATTCGATGAATTACATTGTAAAGAACAATCTCTCGAAAGCATATCCAAATTTATTAATCGTATTACGAATTATGTTAACGACGCCAGTAACCGTAGCTTCAGCAAAACGTAGTTTCTCGCGATTGAAATTAATAACAAATTATCTGCGATCATCGATAAGCCAAGAGAGATTTTTATCTCTGGCTATTCTGTCAATAGAAAGTGAAGTAGCAAATTCAATCGATTTTGATGATATTATCAAAGATTTGGCGTCGAAAAAAGCGAGAAAAATTATTTAATATTATTATTGGATTATATTATTATTTAATATTCATCTTATAAAAAATATATAATATGTAACATCATTTGTAAATAAATAATTCCTCGTTGTAAAATTTAAGTGTAGGATTTGAATGTGTATTCAGGCTCCGTAAAATTTTTGAACCTGGCCCTGCAAAAGATCACGTCGGCCCTGACTTGAATGTACGAGCTACATTTGATTGCGCGATTCTGCTTTCTTCCTTTTTTTTCTTATTAAAAATAACAAAAACAGACATATGATCGCAGCGATATCGCGCAGTAAAATGTCGCTCGTATATATTCATCTTCACGTCTTTTTTATTTCTACTTTTGGACGTTGTATACGCGCTGCTCGTTCTCTACTTTTTTTGCTCTTACAGCTCTCACTATACTGTCTACACTTTCGGCCACATAGTTATACATACTACAAACTTACATTATCTTTGTACGATATTGCCAGTCCTTTAAATTACTTTCTCCCTAACAGCTCGAGCACCAGGTCACTCGCGTTAGAATAATAAAGATCATCGAAAAATGTATATTTCCGAATAAATTACCAATTAATCGTATGAAGACATATAAAACATAATGTTCGGTGAATAATTCTGTTTCACCGTTACGTTATATTTCCCGTAACGTATCACTCTGCAATCGACTCTTCCGCCCTTCCTTGAAAGGAATTCTCGCTTCGTCACACGTCGCGTTGTTTTGGCTGATATCTTTATTCAAAGTCGTAGTTGTTTGTATTCACATCCTTCCATCAGTGTGTTATATCGTGTTTGTGTGTAGTGAAAAGTAGACGTGTTAAGACAAGGTCATGATTCAATTGTACCCCCACCAACACAAACCCTTCACCTAACTACACGTCACTAACTAAACAATTACTCAACCTAAAATATTTGTTTCCACTACACATACAAATATATTAACTCTTATATCAGTTAATCATGTTTATATTTTTTATTATTTGTTTCAAAGTTCTGTTTGTAATTTATAACAATTTTCAATGTCTACATTATATTTATGTATAAAGCGGGATTTGCTTTTTTATTGTCAATTTTTATTATTCTTCTTTTTATTTTCTTTATTTATTCTCTTAAAAAATTGTCGTTGGTTTTTAATACTATTTTCGATTGATGCTCAATTTTTTCCAATTCTTCACTTCTTCACATTAAAAGTTTCTAGGAATATTCAAACACTTTTTAATTTACTGTATGTATAAATAATAGTGAAAATTCGAATAGAAACATCGTTTCACACAACACTATCTTATTTTTCACAATATTTGTTTTGATGTAAAACCGAAAATTCGTCCAAAGCCAAAAGGCACGGACTAAACAATAATAAATAAATAAAAATATAAACTGTTCCATGTAAATCATAAATATAATACCAGTATATAATACAATAATTAATTTAATAGATAAGAAAATTCATTATGAATACAATATAATTTGTATAATATAAATATATGTATATACATATCATACATAATATACATTAAATACGCTTACAAAAATTATGTATGGTATTTCAAGTATTGCAATCAGAATAATATCGTTCAAATGTTCTAAAACAAAAACAGAATATTGTAAAATTAGAGTTTTCATATCTCATAATATTTTATGGGGACATTACACTATATGTACATAAAAATCGACAAATAAAAAGAAACATACCTGAGTTACCTCTATAAAATATTTTATATCTTCACGCATCAACAATGTTTATTTTTAACTCAAAATACAATGCTCAAGATAGCTAGAAAGGCAGATGTTTTCTATTCTCTTGCATCAGATACAAAGCGCGTAAAAATGCTCGATAATCAATTTCTAATCGGCCACCTCTTTCTACGGAGAAACATTTGTGCACAGCGTCCAGTTCTCTGTTGCTAATTAATTCTAGCATACGCCTGATAGACAGAACTTTGATCAAACACTCTTTCGAAACTGTACCAATATTCTCTTTATCGTAGCCCTGTAATTTCGAAATTTATGATTTGAGAATTTTGTACATATATACGAAGGTCTGTACGATTTTAGAATCAATAAATTAATACCAAATAACCAATAAATTAAATTATGAAATTAATTCTGAATATAATATCGCGAATTGATGGTAAAAGTTCTGAATCCTTACAATCCTTACTAATTAAATCCTAATCCTGGCTAACTAATTTTTTAAATATGAAATTATTTAATGATTTTAAACAGTATGCTCTTTTCGTAATTACGGACCCTGAACAACTCCTCAAGATTCGGTTGTTGCATTCTGCTTAGCTTGTCTACTGCCGTTGTGGCCATGTGCCTTTCATCGAAATTCAAGAATGTCTTAGGGGAAGCTTCCGAAGGCACATGTTGTACAGGCACTAAAAGTGGTGCTCTTTCTAAACTTCCCATAGCAACAGCTTCTTCGACAACTTCTCCAAATTTCACATAATCCACGGAATCTGATCTTTAACATAAAATAACAGAATAATAGAATAATTAAGAACTAATCTAAATATTGAAAATATAAATAAAGTGGTTGGGGAGATTAATTTGGAAATTGAAATATTTTTCAGCAGATATTATGAAATAAAATAAAAAATATATCAATTATCATTTAATTACGTGAAATATATGTTAAGTTTACTTGTATTTATGTACCTTAAAGGTGATTGGAAAATATTCATAATAGTTCCCATTTCTGTGCAAGTCAAATTACAACGTAGTTGATCCAAAGCTCGCAGAAACTCTGTTCTTTTTATAACGTGTTCATTATGAATATCATATTGACGCATGAATTCGATAACCTTTCCCATAAAAGAACAAATAAAGGATGTAAAGGAAAAATATAAAAATACCCACATTTTGTGCTTTACCTTTATTCTTTCCCGCACAACTTTTGCTTTGATTTTGGCTAAAATTAAAACGATATTTGTTTCATCAGCTGTTGCTTCCGGTGATAGTTTCTCAGCGTTGATTTTTCTTTTTTCTTTCATCATAGAGTGGTACAGGGGCTCCTCGATTGGTTGAGCCTCTAATTCTTTTAAAAACCAATTATAATTGAAACCTAAATCATTATTATACCTCTTTTCCAATGCAAACTCCTCTTCTTCAGAAAGTAGTACAGCCGCAGTTCTTAGAACTTGACGTAATTGCGAACGCGATACGTGACCTTTGTTATGTCTAAGAAATAATTAGGAACAGAAAACATATAAATAATAGTATAAAAATATGCGTACATTTTTGAAAAAAATATTTTTGGGGAATATATAAATATCGTTGAACGAATATACATATACCGATCATAATCCTTAAAAAATTGTTTTATCATAATTCTTCTTTCCTCGACTCGATGTCGAACTTTTAATAATGTTTTCTCACAAAGATCTCTTATATCTTTCCCTTCGCATTGCCAATTAGACGCTCCTTTTCGACTTAGTTTCGCTATTTCTTTTGGCGGTGACTCAATCTTCAAATTGGGCAGCTTTTCAATTTCTTTCACGGTAAACACTGTAAACGGAAACAGTTCGTAAAATGTAAAGTTTGAAAAAGTCACGATCAGATAACGAAAATGGGAAAAATAAATAGATAGAACGTTCTGTCTCGAAAATACCTTTATCGATGTCATCTTCGAATGTACGCCAACATACACGATCAGGATCATTTGGGTCTTTATAAAGCGTAACGAGCGCGTCAATTTCCGTTTCCGCAAGATAAAGGCGTCCCAAGCTCGAAATCTGAAGACCATCTAATCCTCTTTTGAAGTTGGAAATCGTCGTTTTGCCCGCGTTCAAAGGATCAAAATCCTATTATTTGTCGTAATCGTTAATTTCCTATTTGTTATCTGACATTTTAATGAAATAGATATATCCACTATCATTTTACTATATAAAAATTGTAAATAAACTGTAACTAATATTTTAAGAGCGTGGTAGCTATACTGAATTATAATATTTTTATAAAAATAGCAAGCCCGCTTTTAAAATTTTAATTACAAATTTTATAAATAAAGGATTATTACCTTAAAGAATTCCGAAATGCGTAATCGATTTTCAAAGATATGTCTTTGAATACGTTGAATAACTTCTATCAAGGGCATTGTACTTCTTCGTTCTTTCATTACCGGATGGAACACAGCTTGTTTCCCAAATACTTTGCTTGGTATGAATTTACCAATTTCCGGCCTTGGAAGTTTCGGTAATTCAGCCGTAATAATTCGACCAGGAAATTGATCAAGTAATTCCTTTTGAATAAATAAGATACAATATTTAACATAGATTTATCGTTCAATACGTCTGATAACAAAAGGAATGAATCGGTAATGGTAAATAATGAACGTAAGAGGAACATTTGTAAAATATGCAGAATAAAATATTACTCCACCAAGAGCCAGCATTTGATGTTTATCAAAGTAAGATTGAATTTCGTCAATCGCCTTTAAAAAGGCCACATAGTTGATCGTATAAGCATCTTTCGCGAATCTTTTTACAAGCAAACAGAATTCTTCGGAAGCAAGAACGATACCTAGAAATTTTAGGATTCGTCCGAAATGCGTGAATGTTACAGTCCCAGCATTTTTTGCAATCTAAAAGATAAATAATTGACGTTTACCGCATAATTATAGAATAGAAAAATGCATCGATAGATTTTTAGACAGAAGATTATTTTTCAAGCAAACCAGTTCGTAATCTTGAAAGTAAGGCCTCAACACGAGTCTTCTTTTGTTTATAAGAACGGCAATTTGAGTGAGTATGAGACATAATTTTCGATGTTCCGTTGCACTTATACGATTTACATGCTCTGGGTCTTCCCATTCCAAACCAGTTACAAGCGGTTCGCTTTTGTCGAATTCAGGAGCTACAAGAAAAACATCAATTTTATTGCTGTTCATACTAATCCTCTTAACGAAATAAAGGAACATTTAGAAAAGGACACGAATTTTGTTCCGACGATGAGTTCATATAACGGTACCGGATTATGTATGTCAGTCAAATACAAATTCCTTTCTTTTCAGGTACGGCAGTAACAGTTTCTGAAATGTATTCTTACAGAATAATTGAAATTTGCTTACCTGTTTCAAATAGCTATAAGATTTGCCCCGAAGAGGGTCAAGAAATAAAATTACTTGTGAATATATTACAATATATTACAATATAATACAATCATTTATATAAATATAGATACTTATAAATATCTGTGTGTAATGCATTGGAATATAATTATAAAATGATTTAATAAAATTTTTTCTAGTCTTGTAAACTATATATTAATAATATAGTATATATCAAATTATAAATTCGTCATACCACTATCGTGAATTATTTCACAAAACTGGGTGTAAAATATTCGACCATCCTGAACGCGGAAATAATCGGCCAAATCGGAAATTTCTTTGTCAGATAAACCAATTTGATCCTTCAGCGGCCCAGCCAATACCGAAATAAATTTCGACTCTGCGTATTAAGAATATATATTGTATAATTCATGATCGTCATTTACAATCTTCGTGAAACAATATGTTTGTAAATACTAAATGTCTGCTAAAAATCAAGATACGGTACCGAGTGAAATAAAATTTTAATTTGATAATTCGAAAACTACGAAACAATTGAAAAACACGACTAAAGGTGTTCAAGACAAAAAAAATAAAAATTTTTAATTGATATAATAATGGAAATTGTGTAACCGTACCTGAGATTAAACAATTATTGTTAGGATCTAGCGGTTTGTAAAAATTCCATAAATTAAAACCCACGCGAAAAATTGCCGCTCGGATTTTATTACAAGTACGCCAAACGTCCTGTAGCCTCAAAATCTATGGATAGAGCATTTGTTAAACATGAAAAGTTATTTAAACTAAACGTATTTTCTCCCTATATCTTATTTTAAGTGTGATAGAAATCCTGGCTTTACCTTCTGCTGCTCAGGCATTTTGTAATACTAAAAGGTAAAATGTTAGATATTACAAAAATTTTATTCTGTAAATATCTTAAACGATAATTCTGTTGACAAACAAAAAACAAACGTTAACATTGATAGAGATATAAAATATTCATTTTACTAGTTATTCTAATTTGCTAGTAATATTCTATTTACTAGTATTATTCAAAAAAATACGTTGTGAACGAATAGGAAGAACGTTAATTAAATCAAACGTTAGGTTAAATGAGCACTAAATGACCTATTATAATGTTTACTTATTGTTATTGTCATCACAATAACGAATAAATAATAATAATACATAAAGACTTTAAGATATATAGATATATCCATCGATTACAGAGACTAAACAAATATTTCTCATTAAATTATAATCTTACAATGTATGTGATATGCATATGATAGCACATGCAAATATTCATATTTATACATTTACGTAAATATTTATACATATGTGCAGAAAATAACAGCATTGAGCGAGCCAACTAGAGCGACATCTAGGTTGATGCTGGCGCCAACTACTAGCGTCTGCAATAAGAACGCTGAATCAACAGTAAACATTTCCCGCTTTTATTGGACATCAACGGAAAGATGGACTTCTCCTTCTTATTTAAACATTTAAATAATGAGTCATGACTAAGTAATAAAAATAAAAATATAACAACATAAATTGAAGAAATTGTTATATTGAAATTAACTTGGAAGCAATATTTTATTGATTTCTTACAAATTACGCGCACAGAATTCTGGGAAGTGATGCCGAATGGAGCCAAATCATTACGGAATTCTTATTGGCTGCTACGTATTACTCAGTATTTCCCACGAATCTTATTGGCTCCTCGTTTTCGCTCCATTCCCCACGCAAAGCTAAAATTTTCGTATGCGTGCCATTGTATTCACTATTTCCCCTTAACATCACTGAAATACTCGGCAACATCGATTGGTGTAACAGGACCGTAACAACGCTATGAAATAATGTGTATGCATTATCTTTTTGAAACTAATTTTTCATGATTTCGGATACTTATACTTATCTATAATAAGTATTAACTTATTATAAATATTTAGCTATGTCACTACGCCACGCCAGAAAAAATTAGTGAAAATTCTCAATGCGAGAATTGATTGCAAATATCAATAAATAAAAAAAAATGATTTCGAATATAGAATAAAATATTTTTTATTTCGTAGTTATATACTTATCTATAGTAAATATTAACTTATTATAAATAATTAGCCATGTCACTGCGCTACACCAGAAAAAATTACTGAAAATTCTCAATGCGAGAATTGATTGCAAATATCAATAAATAAAAAAAAATGATTTCGAATATAGAATAAAATATTTTTTATTTCGTAGTTATATACTTATCTATAGTAAGTATTAACTTAATATAAATAATTAGCCATGTCACTGCGCCACGCCAGAAAAAATTACTGAAAATTCTCAATGCGAGAATTGATTGTAAATTTTAATAAAGAAAAAAAAATTTCATAGTTGATGTAAAATTTAGTTCTACCGATGCAAGTAAAATAGTGGATCAGTTTGCTGAACAAGATATATTAATACTCATAATATTATCTTTGATAATATCATCTATTACTTATAACTTTTCGAATTTTATTTGATTTTATTTTGTTCTATCGAAATTTGAAAAACCAGATACTAAAGATTAAGGGTCGTAAACAATGCTACAGAAAAAATATTAATTCTCTTTTCTTGACTGCTATGCATATATAATTATAGCACGCTGAAAGTAACGCGATATTTTTGGAAAGTGCAAACTAACGTGGCATTGGGAGTTCTAGGTACAATACTGTGTGATGAAACCTGATTGGCTGAGAGAGCCGTAAGGGGGGAAGTAAAAGAGATTCCATGATGCTTTGCGCGGAATCTCCTGAGTCAAAAGGAGCGCAAGTCGTACCTCTTCCTTCTCCATTTGGCGGTCGATCAGTACGGACGTGAGAGTGTTGTTAGCTCGTGTAGTGTATTTAATTATTTGTTAAAGCGCGATTTATAATTGTGTTTTAAGTGTTTTATTAAAATAAAAAAAAAGTAGAATAAATAATGGCCGATCAGGAGAACAAGGACTTCAGCGAAGATATTGCCGATCAAAACTTCGAGCAGAACGGCGAAGCAGAGAACGGCGGCGGGGACGCCGCAGAAAATGGCCAAGAATCACAGGAGGACAGGTAACCCTTTTCGTCTTAAATTTCGATCTTGCAATTAAATCAATCGTTCTTCTACGAAACTATCGACTTCGATTCATTTGGTACTTTGAACGCGCGGGAATATGTAGTAAAGCTTCCAAACGAGAGTTGCTTTGTGCGATACGATTGTCGCGATGACAAAATGGCGGATGCGCGAGATCCCGAAAATCGTAATCCGTTCCCATCGATTCTAAAGCGAGCGTTCCTAGTATTGCAGTTAACTTCTTTTGTATTGCTGCAGTATAAAGAAATCCTAGGTATCAATCTTTTTTTTCGAAAAGAAACAACAAATAAGAAAAGGAAGTGAGTCGGTCAAATTAAAAGGAATGCCGGCCGCAAGTTTAGAAAGGGCGCGCCCACGCATTGTTGTAAAGTAAACTCACAGAAAAATCAATTTTTTATATCAAGTCAAGGAATTCCATACATAGATTTGATACACTTTGCTTGGGCTCGCTTTCTTCAATTTTTTGTTACCATTACATATCGTATCACGTCCTCGTGTTTTTCACACACAACACGCATTTATGCGTCAAACCAAAACACTAAATAATATACATATTACGTAAATATGAGTATGTAGATTATTCAGGGAGGGTAATGCGCAATAATTATTGGTTATTTAGTATTGTCGTGATATTTAGAAATATTAATAGATTATAAGGATTTTTGGTGGCTGGTGGGCACAGCACCTTGCCTTTCCCCCTTTTCAGCGTAACGAGATCTCAAGCTGGACGATTTGCTCATCGACGAGTTTAGATGTCAATGTTGATGTACGGACACAGTCTATGTAAATATTTTATAATATCGCATTGTACGTTCGTTCTTATTCTCTTACTATTATCACAGCATTTTTAGTTCTATACCTAAGGGATTCGACTTTTTTTTCTTTGTATCCCTACAGCTTTGGATTGTCACAAACTCTTACATAGTTTGGGGTATGTTTTTGCAAAATGGGTAAGCTACTTTAGATTGTAACTTGTAGAACTACTTCAATTGATATCGGGAAAGAAGATGTAACCTTCAAATTTAGTAAAATATATATGAATTTTCAAATTCTCATGTTATAAAGGGTTGTATAGATGTTGAGTACAAAATATAAAATCATTATATATATATAAGGTACAAAGAATTTGGAGGTATGCTTCCTCTCACCCATAATGAAAGTACAAATGTGTGTTGAGGGACGTGATATCTATACATAAGGTAACAAAAATAAATAACTGAAAACTGGCATTTCCTTGTTTATTATATCAATTTAATATACAAGTAAAAATAAAAACAAAATTAAGTATTGCATGTTCTTTATTGCAAAATTATGATAAGGTAACTATATACATATAAGAATTATAAATATTGTAACTTTATATGTGCTGTTGTTGCGAGGTATACGTTTATCTGTTTAAAATTTTGTAATTTTTTGTAAACTCCTTATTTCTGCTCTCCTTCCTAGTTAATTCTATTCTAGTTTTGTAATTGATAAAGACAAGTTGTGATTTCATCAATGATAAAAATTTCTACATATTACACAAATAATAATTGTAATATTTTTATAGAGCATAAACTTTGAAATGCATTTTTGGCCAGCTGAGTCTTCCTCATTGATTCATTGCAGCAGAATTCTGGTTAGTCAATTCTTCATGATTGACAATATGTACGCTTACCTGGGATCTGTGAACTGAACCGTGAAGCCTTATGATTGACTTCTGAGTCTGAATTATTGTGAGAAGTCTACGTCAAGTTCAAGTCCGTCATGTTTCGTCACAACACAAGCACTGGAAGTCGAGTCAATTACGTCAGATCAATAAGTCTCGCACAGACATACACTTGCCTGCTGGGTCACGCGTAGAGTAATTTCTGATCAGATGTCAATGCTGTTTGGGCGTGATCAAAGCACAGAGTCACTAGGGCCAAAGCGAAAAACTCCGATAGGTCGGAATGCCATTAACCCAGTTTATGTGGCTTGATCTGCAGGTGGCAAACGACCCAGTGCGATTATGGCGGGCGGCTCGCAACCGGCTAACCGTGACCCGACCAACAACTGATTACCGGCGAGTGACTGGTGCCTACGGTATTTATCACCAGCCCTAGATGATATATGAAAAGATCAATCTAAGTACAGACAACTATCATCACACTGCGAGAAAAGTGAAAAATATTGCAGCTTGTTATATTTGTATATGAAAAGGCTGAAAAGTATATCAGGACTTGAAATATAATATTTTGCTGATGAATAAAGAAAGAGAGAGAAATACTATACATATATAAATATACTATAAATAAACATAAAATATTGTGTGCATATATAGATATTTAAAAAGTATCAAGAAGTGACCATCATTAACTTGTAATGTGGAAACAATTTTTTTAGCTTTTTAATAGAGTTGCAGTCTATCTACCATATGTCAATTCTTTGGGCCAATCAGCAGTCAGAGTTCAACTTGGAAAAGTTAAATCTTATTTCCTTTAGGAGCAGCTGTATGTCAACTGGAGTTATAACTATTGTTCGAGTTCACATGAACATCGTGAAAAGTACTTTGCTCTCTCAATGCGTTAATTTTTACATATCTACTTTTTTCCAAGTTTTTTCCTTTAATTTTTGTTGATAAACACATCTATCTGAAGTTCAAATCAAGGTCTATGTGGTGTGCAAAGCAGTCTTCTGATGGTTGTTTCATATAATCCTATGTTTCTTACTAAGGATAAACGCACAATTTTCATATAAGATTGTATTAGTGAGTTAATTTATTCTAGGTATTTTTGTGTCCATATTAATACCATAACTATGAAATTAAGATAATTTTAGTTTTGCAAAATTATTTATTCCAAATTTTAAAGTAGACATTAATGTAGGTCACTTAATCAATTGTAGATTACATTTATACATGAGTATATATTTATATTTATATACATAAGAAGCATTTAATAAATTGCATACATTACCTGTTAAATAAAATTCCTTACCAAAATGTCTTTAAAAGTTTATCCAGTGCCCTTTTTCCAAATGATATACTACTATTGCATTTCTTATATATTGTCAATATTAAATTTTAATATTTTAACGTTTGTTCTAATTTTTCCAGGGGTCAAGTCAAACTCCTTTTTCAAATATAAATGGAAATAATTTGTAACAAAACTTAAATTTTTGCTTCAACCTTAGTCCTAAAAATTTATATAAATTTCAAGATCGTTATAATAACATACATTACATTGCTTTGCAGGTCAACCGGAGGTAATCAGGATTCTTTAAATGATAGGTACATTCTTTTTTCATTATTATTTCTTTACTTTCTAATTTGCATATGAAAATGAAAATAAACGTTTCTCAAACAGTTTTTGCATTGTAATAGTTTTAAATACATTGTAAGATGTATAAATTAAAATATGCTGTTATTAGCATTAAATTATTTATAAATGAATAGTTATGCAATTACGAAATTTTGAAAAATTTCAAGAATTGATATTTTATTTTATTTTCATAAAAAAATTATTTAATTTAATTCAAATCTTACTTTATTTTTATTTTTACAGGAAATTATTTGTGGGTGGCTTAAGCTGGGAGACTACAGACAGTGAGTATTATTTTTCATTTTAAGAATTATAGTCCTTTACAAGCTATTTACAAACTATGATGTTACTTACTTAGGACACCTTCAGATGACAAGTCATATGAGACTAGATTTAATACTGAGTTTTTATGTTATAAATGTAGTAGTATAAATAATTAAAGAATTCAATACCTAACATTTTTAAATAAACATTAATTTACAGAGGAATTAAGGGATCATTTTGGTACATATGGGGACATTGAAAGTATCAATGTCAAAACAGATCCTAATACCGGACGGTCGCGTGGATTTGCTTTCATCGTTTTTGCTAAAGCCGAATCATTAGATAAGGTAAAATTAATGAAACCAATAGTTACACATTAAAGTAAAACTGATATGATGATAAATTTATCCAGTTCTGCTACTGACATTATTTGATGTAATTCCAATTGCTGAAAATAAGTTATTAGAACTAATCATGCAAATTCTAAATAATGAGAGTCTTCATGAAGATTATTTATGTTTCAGATCATGGCAGCCGGCGATCATATAATTAATAATAAGAAAGTTGATCCTAAGAAAGCAAAGGCTAGACATGGCAAAGTCTTTGTTGGTGGTCTTTCAACAGAATTGTCAGATGATGATATCAAGCACTTTTTTTCTCAGTTTGGAACGGTAAGTATCTTAGTTTTCTTATTTGTCACTATAAACGTTTATGCCCATTAGAAAAAAATACGATGAAATTAAATGTTACAGATTGTTGAAGTAGAAATGCCATTTGACAAGACAAAGAACCAGAGGAAAGGTTTCTGCTTTATTACATTCGAATCTGAACAAGTAGTAAACGAATTGCTGAAAACTCCTAAGCAAACAATTAATGGTAAAGAGGTACGTTTTATACTAATTTTATACCAGGTTTTATACCAATAAATAAAATAATTAATTTTAGAAAAAATGTTATACATATTGACGATCCTACTAATGCATTTCAATATATTAAATAGGTCGATGTGAAGAAAGCAACACCTAAACCCGATGGTATGGGGGGAATGCGTGGTGGCGCTGGTGGTCGAGGCGGCCGTGGTGGTAGAGGAGGTAGAGGTCGCGGTTTTGGCGGTCAAGGTGGCTGGGGTCAAGGCGGATACGGAGGTGGATATGGCGGCGGTTACGGTCAAGGCGGTTATGGCGGTGGCTATGATGGATACGGAGGAGGCTACGATTATTACGGCGGTGGGTACGGCGGCTATGGTGGTTACGACTACAGTGGATACGGTAATTTTATTGATTATTACTAAAAGAACTTACACGCGCTTATCGCTGTGTAGGATTATATTGAAGAATTTAATTTCTCTTTTTTATAATAATCAATAGCAGATAATTCTCTACTGCTATCGTCCCAATGTATTCGGTAAACAAACGTAATATTAAAATTATTGTCGTTGCTACATTTGTTGTCTTAGCTTCTTTCTTTATGCATTTGATTTATTTTTTGCTGTAACTTATATAAATCTATGGTAAAATTTCAACTCATTAAAGTTTTTAAAATTCAATAATGTTATGTATATGTTGAAATAACTGAGATTCTAGACATTCAACAAATCATTTGATATAACAAATATTAGCACAGTTTTTTTTTACCGGAAATTAGAAAGTTATTTAATTTATAGAATGCAAAATATATTTCCTGTTAAACAAGTTAAAAAGTTCAGCACAATATTTGTTTTAGAATTGATTAGTATTAACAATAAATAATTAAGTTTCTGTGAAGTAACTTAATAAATATTGATTAATAATATTAGCAAATATAAGTTTAAATAAATTAATAAATTCTAGAGTTCATCATAGTATTATTAAAAATGATAGTTTATATTCAAAGTAAATGTTTTAAGCCATATACATATGGGACGAATTTTGAAAATAACAGTCATGTCGAGAAGGTTTTCAAAATTACCTGACACGAAGTTTTAATTACCCATACCTCCTATAAAATTTTGCTTTATGTAAAATCTTATAGAAAATTTTTATTTATATTACATAAATTTAAATCATTTGCCTCAACATAATATAATACTAACTTAGTACTATATGACTAAGTTATATTTTGAAATGATATAAAATTGATGTGATATATTACATTTATGGCTAATGTTGAAAATTGAGCGCTGGTTTGCAGGCAGATCAGCGATATCTTGACTTTAAAATTATTTACATTAAACTTATTTTTACTGATTGTTTACGAATATTATTGAAAATGTCTATTGAGTGTTGATATTTCTAAATTAAAATTAAATACGGAACTAAGAAAGTAAACCAGCAGCTCAGATACGTAGGAAGTACATTCGGATTATGTTTTTTTACCTCTAAGTATGTATAATACGTATTTTCCCTTTTTTTGGCTACGAAAGAAAATTTTATTGCGCATGAATAAAGAAAGCATAATCCGAAAAGTAAATCCCTACTTCCAGAGGGTTGGCTGTTTTTGAGCTGTGATCAACTAACTTATTGATTTTAACAACTTCCTAAGTTAAACATTTTAATGCCTTATTAATATTTGACTTATATATACATATATATACACACATACATATGAACCACATTAAACGCAGAAAAGCAGGATATCATATAATATGTAACAGTGAATGTGTGAAGATGATTAAGAATTACTATAGTTCAATGTGGTATTTTAAAAAAAATTAATTTCTTTACGTATATTTAATTGGTAAATAGTGTACAAACATTTCGATTAACTTCTTTTGTTCTAACAACATAAATATTATAATAGATCATTTCACTCAGTAAATGTACATAAGAGTACTAATTTCATACGTTCACTGATTGATGTCTGTGAATTCGTGGAATAAATTAATTTTTTTACATTTCTTATCTTTACTATAAGTTCTGCAGACTCGCTGACTTCAAAACACACGCAGTCACTGTAACATAGTTATATGTGAACTTGAAATGTGTGGAGAACATTAAAGCAAAACTATACAGGATAATGTCGTATGATATGGAATATTAAACCTCCAATCCTTGCTTTCAAGTCCTGCCACGTTTCCTAATATGCATGCTTTCACATATTTCCACATTTCACATAACCACTTCATTCATGAAAAAACTAACACACTCCTCAACAATAATGAATTATCGATACTTGCAATCATTGTGTTTGATCTATTTTATTAATTACGTTACATTATTTTTAGCATGACTTTTAGTTCATTTATGAGAGAAAACGAACAAAATCATTTGAAACGGAGAAACATTTTTTACACTATAAACCAATTTATAAAATTATTTCCTATTGCATATGCCAAATAAGAGTAAATGTTGAGAAACACAATAGCAAGTCCACATTGAATTTATATTTATCTATTTGCGTGTTCGACCCTGCACACACTTTTTTCCTGGGACTGTGGCAAATAATTAAATTATTACACTAAACTTTCTTGTCATAAAGAAATTTAAGTGCATGCCACTTCGTGTTAACGGTAAATAAAATCAATTGTAATCTTTTTTGATACATGAGTTTATGAACAGCCTCTGCACTTGTATTACTATTAGATGTGCAAACAATGAACCCTTTGGAAGATAAAATTATCTTTTAATATTATTAAGTAGTATTTTTTAAAAAATTCATATAATATATATATAAATATTAATTTAATATAACATTTAAAATTATATTTTCGAGAATATTTAATTTTAAAGCTTAAATTTACTAAGATCATACAAATTTACATAATTGTGTTACACACATACTTGTGTACCGGCGATAATTTTTATTGGTATCATAGATTATACTATACACAATTGCCGGTCCATGTTAATACTGACCCCATTTGTCTCTTATACCGTGTGTTCCATGAAACGCAGACGGCTATGGCTATGGCGGTGGTAGTTACGATGGTGGCTACAGTGGTGGGCGCGGTGGTGCACGCGGTAAAGGTACGCATTAGCGTTCCTTCTCTATTGTTTTGTATTTTCCCAAACGTGCCCTACTTTGTTAGCAGAAATCCACTTTCTAAGTTCACATTCATTTCATCAATTATTTTTCATCACCATTATTTTACCTCCTATGTTTGTTTATGTTTATCCTTCATCATTTCCCTTTATTTTCTCTAAGTATGTGTGTACATGTACGTGTGAGCATATGAAATTGATATTTTATTATTTTTATAGTTACAATACTAATGAAAATAATGAATTTTCAGCAATTACTGATATATATTATTAAATACATAAATATTTACTATTGTGTAACCTAAATGTAAATACTCCATTCCTGCCACATATTTTTAGAAATAGCTTTTTTTCTATTTCTCAATATTTATAATATATATGCATTTGTCTTATTTTCTTTAACCACTTTTAAAAGATAATGTTTAAAGAAATATTATCTTACATTTTCATATATACTTTATTGTACAAGTATTGTACTTATTTAAGGATAATTCAAATTATAAATTCATGAAGAAGTGTTTATCATTTTATTGAATAGAAATTAATTAAATAGGAAAAATTTATTGTAAATTAATTAAAATTCTTGGTTTACACATATACTAAGAACAAACTAGGAAAGACATTGATATATCATAGTTTTAAGAAGAAAGAAAATAATGTGTTAATATATATGTAGTCCATACTTTATTTGAATTAACACAAACTATGTAATTGTAATATACAAGAAATTTTATTTAGAAAATCGTACAATTTCATAAATTCATAAATCTTAATGTATGAATGCTAAAATATTTTGGTATTATTAGTAATAAAATTTTGGTTAAAGAAAGTGTTGAGAGACAAAGTTTCTCTCTGCATATATTGAGATAGTTTCATAATTTTTAAGAGTATATATAATTTATCATTCTGAGTAATCTATATATATTTCTAATATACTAATAAGATTTTCCAAGTGATTGTGTTATTTCGAATTACTCATAGTCTAAAATGTCATTACACCATTCGTATATATGTATGTGTGTGTGAAATTTATATATCTGAAAGATATATGTAAGATATGTAGAAGATATATTTTTGATAATAAGTGAAATATATATCTTACATATGAAAGCATGTCATATCTCATGCGTACAATATGGTGCATATTAAAGTTCAAAGAAAAATGAATAATTGAAATTTTTCATGCTGGTATTAAATTCATTTTCATCTTTATTTCATTTTTCATATCCTTAACCTTAAACATTTCTGGTTATTTGATAAAAACAACAAACTGTTATTATGACATTAATGATATATCTATAAATTATATTTTGGTAATAGTATATAAGAACTATTAATATAAGTATAAAGTAAAGTCTTAGTGAAGTAATTGTAAATTATTTAAGTAATTTGAAATTTGTTTAAGTATGTACACAGTATCGCAATATGAAAATTTTAGTATTTCAGCATATGCAGATCCCAGAAATGTGTAAGGAGAAAAGGAGAGTATGAATCAGAACGCAGCCTTGCAGCTTACTACCTTAGCCTGTAGCCTCTATGTAGATTCTTCGTAGTTTTATATCCATTACGTTAGTCTTTTCTTTATATATTGTTTCGTACCTTATTCTGTTATTAATAGAAGTGTGCGTGCGGTAATTTCTACAAATGAACCGTTTTGTGGTCAATAATTTGTAATTTCTTCAAAAAACGGCGGGAGGAAGAAAGCGGGGGTATATATCCAAGTTGCTGGACTAACGTACATCGTGGATATTGTTTCAGGAGGCTCAGGCTACGGCGGAAAGCAGAGGGGAGGTGGTCGTCAGAACCAAAGGCACCAACCCTATTAATGGAAATCATTCATTGCGACCGCAATGCAATTCGCATTGTAACCGCTGGTGAGTCATCATAGCTTCCTGACATCTATAAGTTCAGTCTCAACAACCTTTCTCTTCCTTTCCAATGTCATTTATGTTTAATGTTACCAAAATGGTTTCATGTGGTTACATAGTAAAAACATTTAAAAAGATGTAATATAAATATTATACACAAACAATACAATGCAATACATTTGAATATTTTTCTTCTTTTCAGGTTTCCTGTCCATCCACAAATCTCATAACTCGTTAAATCATCATTCCATTAAACCACGCCACTTTCAGCAAGATTTTCAACAACGCAGACTACTGCCGCAAAATAAAATGAATCATCAGGAATCACGACAAAAACTGTAATAGCTTCACATTTTGCGTCTAGCAATACATCTGTATTATCAAGACAACAAAAGCAAACATATATACATATATATATTATATATATATACATATAGGTACACAATGCTTTCTTCCATCTCTCGTTTACCCTTTTGTACAAAGTAAAAAATACTTCATATTTTACATTGGTCCTCTATCTCATTTCATCTTATTTATCATTAATTTTTTTACCGTTAGTATACGTTACGTTGTTCAGCGTAAGGCAATGTCACATCGCAATACGTTTGCAAATTAATATTCTGTTAATACACATATGGAATGGTATGAATGCTGGCGTAATAATTATTCCAAACGTATAGACAAGATGCCTTACAATGAAATATTGTAACGTAATATTTTTGTGCAAATGGGAAAGCAGAAGATGATAGGAAATAATTTAAATACAGATATATTAGGAACAATCAAGTTTTCTTATTCATCGCTTGGGACTGCTGAGAAGTACCTACGTCCCTATTTTTAACAATAAGATTATTATAATTTGTTTATAAACTAAACTTAATAAGAAGAAACCCACTATAGAAAAGTAAGCAGGCAATGTACTTTTTACACGGCTATGATAAGACAAAAATGAAAAGTACCGAATTGTTTATAATGATTGTGTGAGGTATGAAATGAGGTAAAAAGATTATTGCTTCCTTATTGGTAAGAAAAATAGGATAAAATAAATTGATTTTGTGTACATAATATATACCGCGTATGTTTGTATTTGTGTTAACCGATCCTAATAATTTAATTTTTGGAAAACAGTATGTACACAATACTTCTTTAAAATATAGTGATAAACATCTATACATTAGATTTAAATAAGACTGACACAAAGATTTAGTGAATTTGTATTACAAACAATATTTTGCTGATTCTACCACAGTACGTGCATCGAGCTCTAGATATTCTTTCAGTTTTTACTCTACACTCAAGAACAACACATACATACATTATATTTATATACCGATAGTTTCATTCTAGGCAAAAAACATCGTAATAAGATTTTTAAACTAAAAGAAAATATTGTATTTTTCTCAAATTCAACACTGTTCTATGTCACAAAAGTATTACATTAAAAAAAATTAGACAAAAAATAATGTTGCCTTTTTTTAATTTCACAGTTAAAGCGAAATGTACAAAACGCAATCTTAACAATATTAAACGTTTTAAGTAAATAGTATTGTATAAAGTCCTATTGTCTGACATTATACTATAGAAAATAAGCTATATTTAAACTAAATTTTTCACTAATTAAAAGAGTATACATTTTAAGTTATTAAATTTTATGTATAGTTTTCCATGTATCATATTCGGTAAAAAATTTTTTCTTGCTAATTTGTATTAAAATTGTAAAAAAGAATTTCTATCTTGATGTATATATAAAATGGGGAATTTGATACTTTCGTTCTGTGTTGCGAAATATTTTGGTTGTTAAGACAAATCAAAGAATTTTTGAACAACTTTCTTGTCAGGTAAAATTTTATAAAATTTAATTGGAACTATAAATATACATAAAATAATATCATGAAATTTATTTGTAGAAAGGCATGAAGAATTAGATTAAATGTAATATCGCATAGATGTTCATCATAGTTTTTCACAGAACAATTAAATTTCTTTTATTTATTTATAAAAATTCTTTGGTATGTAAATTTTATGAAAGCTTTTCATTTGTGTACTTTATATAATTAAATATATTATGTATTCTATGCTTTGTTTTATTACTACTAAACCTTAAAAATTAACAATTATTTTATTTCGAACGTTAAGAAATATAATACAACAAAATTATTAAAAGCATGATTTTAAAAACTGCAAGTGTTTCGTAAATATTGGGAACTCTTGTTTTCATAAACTTTGATGTAGGTATTGCCCAGTGTTACATGTTGTGTTTGTGTGTGTGTGTGTATACATATATATATACAATATTATATATATACAATATACATATATAAAGTATTTCACACTTGTACCGCATTTAAGAAAACGTCTCATATCATCGTTTCTGATTTAATAATATTGTTTTGCAGTAAAAATAATTATCAAATAATTTGGTTCTAAAATGTACTTGATTGATTAGCGATTCCCAATTATTTGTATTGTAGTACTGAGATTGCATTTATCATTGTCAATTATTAATTATATTTATAGAATACCAAATTATAGTTATAGAATACCAGAGTTATATGATATGGATAAAAGGTACAGTATATATATTCATCACATTATAAAAAGTATAATCGGTTAATAGTTATTCTTTGGCGATCTTCCATAGGTTATAATTTTTAAATGTTTTATCTGCAGTGAACGTACAATAAAATGAAACTACATTTGGCGATATCTAAAAATAATTACAATAGTATTTCTAGCCGTTCTATCGTAGCATTACAATAGCATTAAACATATGTACTGTAATAAAAAAAATTACATACTATGTCATGAATGTAGGAATTAAAAGGACGGAGTACAAATCTATTGAGCTTAAACTTGTGTCCGGAAAGGGGTAACGAAATACTACGCATGTGGCGGTGATTGGTCGATAACAGATGAATTTTGTTATTTGGTTGAATTTGTTATTTGTTTTGTTATATGAATTTGTGTGTTGTTAGGAACATAAATGAAGACGTATGTATAATATTAATGCAAAAATATGTATTGAAACAAAAATATATGTAGTGCAAATTTGTAAAAATTATATATAAACGAATTTATGTATATGTTTTTTACTATTGTATCCACCCTTCTTTACTACCCTATTTTGACATAATTTTAATTTATATTTATATATAATTGTATGTAACTTTCAATACATTATTTTCATCATTGTATATTTCAGGATATTTCACAATCCTAAAAGAAGTTACTAAGTGATTGGCATTTACCACGTCTTTAGCAATGTTTAGCGTATTTCAATTAATTTTTAGAAACAAATTGTACATATAAAATTTCCTTTACAGTTTTAATTTCAAACCTGTTTTATTTTTATACATCTCTTTTCTTTATACCACTGATTTTTCTGCTGTCAGCAGAATGATTATAAATCTCCTATTTCAAATAAAAACAATAGAAAAAAATATATCTTATCTACCATTTATTTATTAATGTACAGTTTCTAGTATGCCATTATCCTTTTACAAATAACATACAATGTCTGTCTAATAAGTAGTTTAACTTATTATCCATGTTTAGAGCAAGACTTTGAGTAAATGAAATATCTTTTTTGTGATATGTTTGTGCTTGAAGATAAGTGTACCGCATGCAAAATGTTACATTCCGAAAGAGAAGAGTTTGTCCAGATTACAAAGTCATACTCTACAAATGTCAGAAGATAGAGAAATAGAAACAGTTGCCGATGAATCCTAAAACATGTAGATTTGAAGTATATCTAACAATAAATAATATAAGTCATTTAAGATTTGTTAAAATAATGTCTCATGGACCAACAGAAAATTAAGCTTGCATCAAGAAAGATATTAACTTTTTAGATGATCTAGTCTGTAGTAGAATATTTACAATATGATTTATCTGCATGTATATATACTAGTTTTGTATTATGTCTCTATAATTCTATGTAATTATTTATTGTCAAATAATGTGATTCCAATAATAACTAAATAAAAGTGTTATAAATAGATTTTCAAGAAAAAAAGACAAAAGTGATATTTTAATGAATTTTGTTATGAAACGTTTTCTTATACCCATCTTTCATATGTGTGTATATTGATTTCCTATTTATTTGTAATATGTGAATGAAAGAACATTTTCATACTTGTTATAAAGAAAACATATGTATAAAAATTAATTAATTTATATTTAACACACTAAATATATAGTTTGATGCTCTATCATCAGATGGCAATAGAAGATAACTGTGTTTATTTATCATACATACAATGTAGGTAAAAGAAATAGTAAAAATTTGAAACAATGAATTATAAGACTTATAAACTATATTATTATTAATATAATCATTTTATTCGCAATTTTAGTATTTTCAATATAACAAATAAACCTGTCATTTAATTATATTGTTCTTGTCTATTCAAAATAATTTATACTTTATAATGAACTATAATTCCAAAATAAGTCATTTAATAAATCACCCAATAATGTATAAGTTCCAGTAGAACGGAGCGTATTATTGGACCAATAGCACGTTTATTTGTCTACAGAATTTTTCTATTTAATCTAAATTGTAATTGGCTGTTTTCATAGCAGAACTGAAATAGCCAATCAGCGACGTAGTATACGCAAGGAAATGCCCTTCTGGAATTTGTTCGATTGATGATGTAGTTCCTGTAAAACCCGCACAGCACGAGTAAGGTCTTGGCTTCTGTAAGAGAGTCGTTTATCTTTATACGACCGGTGTTTCTGTGCAGGTTCCGCTGCATGTGCTGACATCAAGGTGCTTGGAGGACTCATACATTGAACTGTTTTTATAATTAACATTATTGTGAACTGTTGTTGCTCGTAGAAACTTTCTGTTTTCGTCGCAGCATCTCGTTTTACCGGGAAAGCAGTGAATTGTGTCACGCATAAGTGGTTCCATTGGGTGAGTGTACAACGCCATAAGATCGGCTTTGCCGATGTTCTTTCATCCGACTTCTCACAGAGAAGACCTCGGAACGAACCAGGAAGGCAAGCATGATACGAGACTGTGAAAAGTGTTCATGAATTAACGATATTTGTTGCTCGTAAATTATTGTTCAAATCATTGAACGTTTCGATACTCATGTTTTATGTTACTTATCGAAACATTTTGCTAAAATTTTATATTGAGAGTTTAGCGTTACCATTTCTTAGATCAAGAAAAATCGCCATGCTTGCTCATGCAACCGGGCGGCCCCCTTGCCCTCGACCTCGCACTTCGCGCAGCACACGAGTTGAGAGATGATCTACAGTTTTTTGTTTTTAAGTAACTGCTTTGCAACAAAGATTCCTGTTATTTTTGTACTTACGCGAGCACATGTTCTATCAAGACTAGACTGTACGCGCGCCTGATTACAATTTAATGTACAAATTACTGAAATTACATGTTTTAACACTCATATATTTATGTTTTAGGATTATTGTATCAATCTTTATAAAAATACTATAGGTTCGATTGATGAATCAGTTACTTCAGAAAAAATATTTTATTTATGACCATTTTTAATCCAAGCACATCGCTCTCATGTGATATCCATAGATAGCCACTTTGATTGATGTGCATATTTACAATTTTTATCTCATTATATCGTGTATTTGTTTCCAATATTTAGTTCCTATGTTTATTTTATGTTTATATATAAATGTGATAAGTTATTAAATAACATAATATTAAATATGTAAACATTAATGTAGTTTTAAGTATATTGTATACCTTTTACAATATATACATGATCAATTTAATCTGTTTTTCTTTGAACTACACATATATTTATATATTATTATACTTATATTGTGACAAAAAATAGATAGATATAATTTATGTATACAAACAGTATGATACATCTATAAACATTACAGGTATGTTTTTTTGTTACAGGCATCTAAGCTTCCAATTTTCATAATTACCACATAAAATTTCTGTTGCTATTTAAGCAAAGTATTATTTCAGACGTTAGGGATAAGAAAATGGTCATGGAGGCATCCCCTTCTCCGCAGAATGTCGGTCGTGAATTTGTCCGACAATATTATACTTTACTTAATCAAGCTCCTGCACATCTTCATAGGTAATTGAAAGAAAGAGAGAAGAAATACCTCTTTAAATGTAAAAAAAATGTTGAAAAAGCTACAGTGCAAAATTAAAATATTTTTGTATTATTATATTTAATATTATTGCAGATTTTATAATCAACATTCATCCTTCGTGCATGGAGGATTAGATTCCAATCGAGAATCGACTCCTGCAATTGGTCAAAAGCAAATACATCAAAAAATTCAACAACTAAATTTCCGAGACTGTCATGCTAAAATAAGCCAAGTTGATTCACAGCTCACTCTTGAAAATGGTGTTGTCGTGCAAGTAAGTGACACTATTAACAGAGATTATAAAAAATCTTTTTATATCCATTTAAGGTATTAATTAGTACCTAATACTAAAAATTATGAGACTAATACATACTAAATTTATTTGTATTAATTGAATTATATATGAATTATAGGTATCAGGAGAGCTATCTAATGCTGGACAACCAATGCGTCGTTTTACACAAACATTTGTGTTAGCCATACAAGCACCAAAAACATATTATGTACATAATGATATATTTCGTTACCAAGATTTGATCTTTCCTGATGAAGAAGAAACAGATGTGGGTGGTGTAGAAGGAGGTGTAGGTGAGCCTGGAGAGAGGGAAGGGGAGGAGGGAGTGCGTTCTGAACCAGAGGAAGATGAACATCAAAATCGTGGACAGCAGCTTTCAACACCAGCTGCATCTACTGAACCTCAAGTTCAACCTCCGCTTATTCCCGCACAACAACCCGTGCTTCAACAACAGCAACAAATATACTATGCACCACCGCCGCAACAGACTCATGTTAGTTTTATCCTAAAATATAATTATTTAAATAATATTGTATACTATATTGTGCATTATATATGTTATTTCAGGTACATCCTGTAATGCAACAGGTATTAAATGGTTCGGTTCATGAAGAAGCACCATTAATTAATCAACAACCACCACCACCACCACAACAACAACAACAACAACAACAACAGCAGCAGCAACAACAACCACCTCCACCACCAGCACAGCAGCATCAATATATAACAGAACCTACGTCACAAACACAATTTGTACAAGAAACGGAACTGGATCCTGCAGCCGAACAACAACAACAACAAACAGAAAATGAGCCGCAAACTCAATCAAATGAGAGTCGTGAACAACCTGAGGCTGAAACGTTTACCGCTTCTGTACAAGAATCCGAACCAGAACATCAAGTGGCAAATACAAGTGTGACTAGTAGCGGGCCGAAAACATACGCTAATCTTGTGAAATCATTCCCCAGTACTACTGGCGCTACTAGTCCTCAAGCTCCCAAATTGTCTATGTCACCGGTATGTATTTTATAATTGTAATAGTTATTTTTAACGATTAAGATTTTGCTTATTGTGTAATTTATACAAATCAGATGTCGACAAAGTATAGATATAAACTACTTTGTAACATCTGTTCTCAGCCTCCAATGACGAACTTGCGTTTAGACGATAGATCGCCACTACATCCAACTAGTAGTGGACCTGCACTGTCTATAACAACTAGTGTTTCTACGCCTCAACAACAGACTCATAGAGTTAGTAACCAACAGCCACAACAGCAACAACATCAGCAACAGCGAGCTCCGAGAGGAGGAGCAGTACAACGAGGTAAATGTAGTTCATATTAGCATTGTTAAAAGATATTTATTTTCTACGTGTTATTTATATTAGTCACACACATTACTATATTGTAAAATAAGTAAATAAGTAATGAATTCTTTAGATGGCGATCGTCGTGGTACAAGACAAAGTCAATATAGTGATGCCCACCAATTATTCCTTGGGAATTTACCGCACAATGCATCAGAAGATGATTTACGTCAAGTGTTTGAATCTTATGGTAGGGTAGTAGAGTTGCGTATACACAGTAAATCAAATGATAGATGCAAGGGGCCGCAGGGAAATAACACGGGAAAAGTGCCTAATTATGGATTCATCACTTTCGAAGATCAACAAGTCGTTAGCAAAGTGTTACAGAATTTGGTTAGTTTATACGTATGGATATAACATATACAAGATATAACGTACAAAAGGATTAATTGTTTATCGTTAATTTTAGCCGATTTATTATCCTGCTGAAAATGGACAAAAGCTAAATGTGGAAGAAAAGAAAGTTAAGCCGAGAACGATGGAAGGTAGCGGTGGTCGATTGAATTCTAATGATGGCAATATGAGAGCAATGGGAGGACAACAGCAACAGCAGCAACAGCAACGAGGACCAGGTATGCACACGCATGTGATGTATTTTATAATTACATTTAAAGGCTGTAAAAATGCATATATAAATTAGATAATTAGATGTTAAAGTAAAGAATAATAGCTCCATAATACCATTTAAGATCCACGAAAAATATATTAAACGCTGCGATAATTGTATTGCAGTTAAAAAATAGTTATAAGTGTGACCACCATGTTATATTTCTTTGTTTTATAGGTGGACCCGGAGGTATGATGAGAGGTGGCCAACATGGTACGAGAGGTGGACGTGGAGGATTTTCACGAGGTGGTGATGGTGGAAGGGGAGGTGGTGGTATGCGGCAGTCTGGTAATCCCAACAATCTGAGTTATCAAAATCGCCGCTAATACTTCAAGCAACGTTGAAGAGGCACTCCCCAGTTTCTTTCTTCTTGAACAAGTCATCGGTATATAATTACCATCCTCATTTTTGAACACAAAATCCAGGACTATCTCGTATGCCACACAACGTGATTAAAGGCGCTATTCTTTTACGCTTAAACATCGCTTGCACCGTTTGTCAAGCAACAACTATAGATGACGCAGCTCAAACTGTATGGAATACGAACTCGAGTAGGATAATCGGATTATCGCATTTAAGCTAAGTTTATCGTATTCGTGGATAAGGAATAATGATTTAGTAAAATAATTCATTAAAGGTTCAACTTAGTTCGTTGAATATTTGATGAAATAAATACTACGAGTTCGTTCTTCATACATCGACGTCAGGCAATTTACAAGACTTTACGATGAAAACAGAACTGCATCCACTTGCATATGTACGTATAACAGAGCGACGCGTGATATCCTCTCCAGAAATATGGGTGTATTTTGTCTCCTGATACGTAGCCCACGTTTCTTAGAAATCAACATCCAAGAAACAAAATTGTTGCCAATTTTTGTGATAGAGTGACAGAAGAAAACTCGAACTAAGTTCTTTCGTGTTCTTCGTAGCACGTGTGCGATATATAAAAGCAAGTGACAGTGTTAGAAGTATACATCATACAGATCCTACACACATACAGATACATGTCGAACTAGGATTTGGTAACATACCTTTTGTTTTCCTTTGGATGAATATCATGAAAGTTATACGTCGCTCTTTTAGTTTTCTTCGTTTGCCAATCGCATTAAGGAGACATAAGCGGTGCGAATTCCGCTGTCGTATAAATAAGTCACGAGCCAAACTAAACGAAATTAAAACGAGAGGATACGAATCATTTTAACTATGGAATATCACCGTACACTTCATATGCTCTCGAGTTAATTTACTTGACTGCCGATGTAACGTTCCATCTACATGTAGAAAGTCGGCAATAATGTTTATAGGTGTAGTTGGTCGGTGTTGGTTAACGAGTAGAGAACTGCGGCTGTTCTGTGGTCGCATACAAAAAGACACAGTCGATTTTTTCACAAAACATGGCCAACTATCAATCGACCGGTATCGGTTGATAGTGGCGCAGTACCTTTAGACTGCAGCTGGTCTCGCCGTTTTCTAATTCATCCGCGTGTCGCTTATGCTCTATTTTGTTCCAACCTGCTAATTTTTTGTTCAATTTCCTTTTTCTATTCCTCGCGTATCTTTTCCTATTAGCCTCTTGTCTTTTCTTCTTATGTTCGTCTTCGTCTCTTTCTTATTTTCTCTTTACTCCTTTTATCGGTCTTTTGTTTCTTGTCTTCTTTCATACAAAGTCATACAAAGAGGGCAATGCTATTTCAAAATTATAATTTCATAGTTGATACAACAAACTAATTGAGAATTATCTAACATCTGTTAGTTTGATAGTCTCTGGTGATCGCAGAACTCGCAGTGCGCTGCTAAAACAAAGAGACCTAGTACCGTTATAACAACACAAAATTTTAGCTTGACTTTGTGCAGAAACCTCGTAAGATTAACAATGTATATTGATGAAAGAATATTCCCTTGCTTACTAACGTAATTAGCGTTATTCTTGTAATTATTATACATACATAAATAGAAATTTTTCAAAGTTCGATCAAGAGTGATAAATGTTCGTACGAAGATTTTATAAACTTCTTTAACCTGACTCTTTTCTTCGATAATTAGATAATCCATATCAATAATTAGATCGAAAAGTAGGCATATGAATATTCATTTTCGAAGATTTTGTCAGCTCTCTGGCGCTAAGGCACACTTTTAAATGTTTTTCAATCTACACGTTATCTTACGAACGAATAGTTTTACCAGCATGAAGTAATAACAGCGATTTAGCGAAATTAGATGGTCGATCTAACTTATCCTTTATATGGAGAAGATAAATTCAGCACGTGCACTTATTCTATATCACCAGATGGAATTGAGGAATATTTTGATTCCTGTATCTTCATAAGTACCCTAATATGTAGATAGTATTTTCCTATCTGTATTTTCGACACGTGTCCGTATAAAGGTGCTAGGGCAGATAAAACAGAGGAGAGAAAGAGAGCGAGAGGATGAGAGAGAGAGAGCTAGAGCGAACGAGAGAGAATTGTGTTTATTAGAAAAAAAAGCATCAGAAATATTTTCGAATTTCTAGAAACAGTTTGCAAGATGAGTCCTGCGATTATTAGAGACAGGGCAATATATTTTTTCTGGCCTATTCGTCACGTGTTTTTTTTTCCTTTTTTCAAACCAGGAGATATTGTTCTTTTGTTTCTGTAAATTGTGATCGTTCTAAAAATCATCGGATAATCAGAAGAAAATTATCAAGCCAACATTGAAACAATATAGAAGAATCGTAAGTGCAAAGTAAAAAGTAATACAATACTACCATCGTCGTGAAACAGTGGTAGCGCATATAGTAATTTATGTGCCATCTCGTACGTATACACCTCGCCCTAACCCAAGTGCACAGATGAAAATACAGGAGACGAACAGAAATTAAACTGTTTTTTAATAGTGCTGAGAAATACAGAGGTGATAACAATATGTTGATGGTGATAAATTAACTGAATGTTGAAATTTGCCAGAAATTACAAAGTGCACGGCGACTAAACCACAAAATGCTACAATATTAAGGCTGAAAACATGTGAAAAGTAATTATTTACTTTCTTATTGATCCATTAAATTGTTACGTAGTCTACATTAAACATCCGCAATAGTTTGTAATCGAATGCGTTACAATTGCTATGTCCGAGATATAGCAGAATCATCGGCGATCGACGTTCATTTTACTATCTCTACAAATTTTCCTGTAATGTATATGTAATCTTAGTTGCGTATAGCTTCACACGGTGGAATCATTTTTCTCTAACAAAATTCGATGTTTATGAAACGTTGCTTTTGTATTATGTCACGATGATGCTGCTTTGTCTCGGTCATGGATAAAGAGGTAATTTCGCGTAATCAGTTGGCCGCATTGTTCGTTACGTCGACAAATTAGAATATTTGCTCGTAATTGTCCACTCATCCGTAAAAGAATTTTATCATTAAAAAGGATCATTGTAAAATAGCGAATTGCTTGTTTCATTTGATGAAATACTGATATGCCTTTTATATCTGCGTATGATGATATTTTCAATTGTACAAATAATAATATATAAAATTTTATATATCCAAACAATCACGCTATTAACTACGCATCGAATAAGTTGATTAATTTATTCTTTCTTAAATCATAGGGTTAAAATACAATAACGAATTTTTATGGCTAAGTATTTTAACGAGCTTCTTCTCCAGCCTCGACGAGTAGAATGTAGCACTTTGATCTTTGCTCTTATTTCAATTTTCAATATGTATATACAGTCTTTAGGTAAGTTCATTTGTACCGTTCAGTATATATATATATATATATATATATACATCAGTGTGCATCTCACGTATAAACGCATTGAAAACAAAGTGTTCAGAGGCCACGTGCACGCGAGATTACCTCTTTATACCTGAACGAAAGCTCTGCAAATTTTTAGTGTGAATGTTTTCGTTTTTAAGTGATTATTAATAATAATAATTAATAATAATAATAATAATAATTAATAAAAAAGATAAATATAATGAACGAAGAAAGGAATATGAAGAAACACAAATAATTATAACAATATAATAATTAGAGGATGGCGAATAAGTTGTGAATTTTTGTAGTATACATTTTTATTTCGGTCTATCAGGCCAGTTTGTGTGTACAACCATGGTCAACGTTACTACGACAAAAGGAAAGAAATAATGTTAAAGGAAAATGAAAAAAAAACAAACATCAAATATATTGTAACTTTTTGCATTTAGTATAATATACCTACCTTACTACCAACTCCTGTTAGTATCGCTTTATTTATCGGAATATTTCACCATTTCTTTATCAACAAAATGTCCGAGCTGCACGCTTCAAGAACCGATTATCTGCGGTAATAACGTTTAATAAATGTTATTATTTGCAATCGTTTACGATGGTACATTAATTTATTTAAGTAAATTCCGAATATTTATTTGAACGTTGTTTATCCTCTTAATACTCAATTTCCATCAGTAACATTCGACTACTTATTGACTTGTTCTCAATGAAAAACGCAACAATCAGATCTAAAAGGGAAACTATTTCGACCTTTTCGTTTGCGGCGATACATTGGGGGACTTGCTTGAATGTAAATAATAAGGCAAACACGAATATTTTTAGAACAACTGGAACAGACGCGTTATGATCAAAAGAACATTTCATGTACTTTTCAAAAACCAAATATTTTCTCGTCTAATTTTATCTCCGGAGCAGAATGAATTATTTGATCCTTCCTGTAATTACTTCAAGTAAAAATTATATCTTCATTGAAATCGGAATTCGTACAAGATGTTTCGTTTCGTGCAAACAAATAAATACCTTTCCGAAAGTCCCACTACACTTTTTAATATATGTCGTAATATATATGTAAGCTTCACTACTTCAATTAAAGGGTTAAATTGATTTACTCTCGTTCCTATATGAACATTAGATACAGTAGACGTTTATTTGCGATCACTTGATACAGTTCCTCATGACCTGATTACTCGAACATCAAACAGCGGCGTAACGTAGTGCGAAGTATAAAAATATACACATGTAAAAATTAACGGACAAACAGTTTCATTTTATCGAAACTGCTGTAAAAACATCGCGACGATCCGACGAGCTATACTCGGCAAATTGATTTTACTTTTTAATTGCACGTAGGCGGATGAACTCTAATTCTATGAGATACGGAATATCGAGCGAGGCGTTACACTTTCTATGAATATTTTAAATTACAGCGGTTTTACGTCACACGCTAAATATTTTGCATTATAAAAAATTCACCAAATTATGAACATTTCGTGATGGTAGATTTTAAACAAGTTTAGTACGCGTGGTTACGTACACACGATTCGGCATGACGTTTATTGCAATGTCTTTTTTTACTCTCTTTACAAAATTCATATTGTTAGGTGAATATCGAAATTATGGCTAACACTTTATTTTAGTACAAGTTATTTGACGAGCTATTTTATGACATATTAGTCGATATAGTCGATATTATCAGAAAAGTTTTGGTTATTGTGAAAGTGCATGTGTTAATGCCGGTGGACACTTGCTCGTGCCATTAAGCTTATTCTGTTGGCGTTTTGTTAAATCGTCGCAATTTCTAAATCGTTCGACACGGTTGAGCGACTCTATGATTATTTTATAATCTTTGCGATAATCACTTGAATCGAGACGAATTTTTGCGGACAATTAGAGCACGTCTACCGCTTAAATCTCTGCTTAACGTAACTGACACGATGCGATTTAGATAATTCCACGTATGTGTATGTCACAGAACAAACATGTGAATAGAACAAATAAGTGCGAAATACTCTTCACGGTCATACGAGTAACGAGTATGATCGCTCAGAAAAGTAACTTTCGCGTACATTTTTAGATTGCTTAAAAATTTCATTATTATAGTCGTAATAGTCGCCACCTGTTAATGATACGTTTCGAAGAGTTTCGTGCACTACGTTCGCAACTGTAATGATATAGTTAAAAATTTCCTTATAAATAAGCGTTGGAATACTTTCGCGAGTCGTTGAACTAAACGTTACAAGATGTTCACCACACATATGATGCGATCACGAACGAAAGTGTTGGCACACTCCTTAGAACCGAATAATTTTTTTTAGGTTAGACCACACGACTTTTTTGACAAGTTAGGAAGAATCTCGTAACCAACGAGATGACGCGAAACAAATTTTTTGAAAAAATTGCAGACGGTCAGAATCGCGGGAAAAATAGTAAAAGTCACTTCTTACAAGTTTCTTATCTGAAATTGTAACGAAGGTTTAAAAACTGAGATAAGCGCGCTTTGTAGATCTATGTTAGTTATATATGTACTGACAATTTTATCGAAACCGGTTAATGTTGCTATGAGCTACAGACGGATAAAAACGATGACGATTGCTGTTTCAGATTTTTCAGAAAATTCAGATTTTCGGCCTGTAACTAATAAATCCATATTCTTGTTCATCTTTCGACGCCTGTTACGCTCGTTTCTGCATCGACCGATTTCGATGAAATTTTCAGCATACGTACAGCTGGCATAATTCTTCAAAATGTGTTGTTTAAATTGTGTTTACAAACCTAAATAAAGACGCGCAGAAAGCTGCAACTTTCCTAAAATCTTTCTTATCCGTCACCTAGTAAACTAGTCCCAACTCCTCAGAAGAAAACAAAATTCAGCTACTTTGGTCGAATCTACCTTAGAGAGTGTGCCAATACCTTAGTTCGTGACTATGTAACTAACAAAAAAAAATTGATGTACGGACTAAACAGACACCTTAAACATGTAATAATTGTTAAAGGTAATCCCACCGAATATCGAAGCTTATCGCCGTAATTAGATAATTAAATATTTAAATATTTGCTCGGCTCCTGCAAAATACATACTTTCACATACAAAAGTCTTCGTAAATAGCTTTCATCTACATCTATTTCCAGATTAGTTTTGAGATCTACCAACATAATCGTAACAGCCTCGCTTCGCTACGATGTTAATAAAGCAAATAAAAAATAAAGCAAACGCGTGACAGATCCGTATCGAACGTAAAGAGTTTCTACAAGGATCGGAATATTTTTACGAGCCGCCGTATACTGCTACATAGAAGCTCGATGGAACCGAGCAGAACTTGAATCGAACGTTATCCGGTTGAAGATTATTCGAAAAAGAAACTTCGAGGCCTGCCGGTTACGTATGTACGGGACATTACGTTGCGTAATTGTTCGGGTAGGAGGGACTCGGTTCCACAGCGAGAAGAGGAACGAGAAGCGGTGCATATGGCAGAAAGATCAAACGGGGGTGTCGGAAGAAAGAAAAACGATGAGGTCATCTCTGGTTGTTTGGCGTGAGTCCGCGAGCTCGGATAGTCTCTGCTGGTCGTTCCTCCGCGCACTGCCCGCAGTCAGTACCGGTCCAGCGACCGATTTGGAGGGCTCTTTTGAACGTTCCCAAAAACGGCCGGAGAAAGGACAGAAAGATAACGCCGGCAACAAGGGAAAGGAACGATACGAGGTAAATAACATGTCCGTACTATAGCGCGGACAGGTGTGCGCTTGCTGCGACCGCTTTACGGTTTGCGGGCATATGTACGCGAATCCGTCGCGATTACACGCCCCTTTTTAAAATAACTTGCGCTCGATTGCTGCTCAATAACAGATGTGAAATTTTACCTTCTCGATTTTCGCGAATTATCGCAGATGATATTTAAGCAGCAGGAATTCCATTGCAACTATGTCGCGCTTTATCGGTCGCTTTGTCTATAAACTATGGTCGTTAAACTATGAAAGATGTATTTGTAAAAATAAATATTTAGCGTTCCTTTGGATAGAGGAAAGAGGCTTAAGGTAATGTGAGTTCGGTTATTGTCGAGTGCAGAGCCTTTGTGATTTCGTTTTTCTAATTCTCGCGGATTATTAATGTGAGAAATACTCGAGGCGTGGTTAGGTAATTCTATTTGATTTTGGTGTTCGTAATTAACGGTGAAATAATTCTATTTGGTTTTGAGGTAATCGCGTATGATGTCGAAGAGATATTAATAGAAATAATCGTAAAATCAATATTAAGTGAACGTGTACTTAATATTATTTAAATGGAAGTTATCTTTGGAAGTTGTTGTAGATAAAAGAGTATATAATACGAATTGACGATGAATTGAAAGTATATAAGAGATCTTGGTAATTTGATCACATCACGTTATGATGTTTTCTGACATCAATTGATTACGTTATACTATTAAGAAAAAGAAGACCTAATCTAAGTTGATACAGCTATCGCAGACGAATAGATACATTTGCATTTTGGTGTGCTATACATAGATGATCTGTAGTTTCTTATACTGTTGATAACAGTTCTCTTTCAAACATCTTCGAATGATAAATTTTCATTCATTTAATAAAATATTAAGATATAATATAATATTTCAAGATATAAAATACATATACAAATACGAAATATATGTATATATTTATGAATACATATAAATGAATACATATGAAATAAGATATCGTTAAGTTAATTAAAAAATTAACGATTAGTTCTGCTACGTTATATGAATTATTGCAACAGATATATCCGAATTTCGAAATAACACAAAATATGAAAAATATATACTTTCTATCATACGTTGTATGCTGAGATCGTAGGTTTGGTATCTCGATATGCGATATATCCGATTAGACATTAACCGCTCTACTCGTGAAATTTAATTCTTCCCATTAAATTCTTGCTTCAAAATTATAGAAACCTAAATTCGCGTTTTACTTTGCACTCTACGTTTTATATTACATTACATTAAAGTACACATATTCGAAACGAGAGATTAGGAACGAGATACTCAACTGACGGGAAAGTTATAAAAATCCTGTGATTCGATTTAAACAACGAATAAAACATTTTAAGAATTACGCTTTCTTATTTAAAACAATGTTATTTTGCGTATGTATCAACTTCCTTACACGGAAGTGTCACTGATTATCTAATTAAGCTCACCGACCAGGAAGTGAAGTCAAATCTTTTTATAATTTAACAGATAAATACGCTTTATTGTTTCTATAACACAAGCGGCAATCACATGTATACTTTATCTGAAAATATACTCGGTAAACGTATTAATAGTGGGCGTTTGTCGCAACTGGTTTATCTTGTCGCGAACACCACGGAAATTGTGCTTTTTGGAACGGAAATTCAACATCCTTCTTCCGAAAAAAAACAAGATACTGCGAGGATATTCGACGTTGTCACGCTTGTAATTCTATCGAACATCCTTACAATCTTTTCTCTGCAATTTGTTTTTCAGCGACGTAACTCCAACCTAACCCCGCGCGCTCGTAATTTATTAACCGATCGTGTAAGCCGTAATCTGAAGCAACTATATTTCGAACGTTGCGTAATTTACATGCATCCTATTTAGAATTTCGCACACAGAGCCACAAATATGTGCGGGGTACAGAAAGACCCGATCTCGAATTTCTGCAGTATCATGGAACGTGATATCTAAATCTATTCCACGAAGGTCAGCGAAAACACAGAGTTCGTACTGGAACGACTCACAGTGGTTAAGGACGAGCTTCGTTATCACTTCGTTCTACCGTCTTCTTTGGAAAGCTTCCTCTTTTATCACTGTTAAGATACCGCGTTGGTAATAAGACACGAAACAGTATCGCGTCTTCGACATGTAAGTCGTCGTTATTTGGTAGGGTTTGTACATCGTAGCTGGGAATTTTGTTAAGAAGACAATGCGGTAATATGGTTCTTCGGGCTTCGAGTGACGACGATTACGTACGCGGGTTCGTGGGCGCCGATCAGAGAAGCGATAAAAACCGGGTCATCCGCGATTCCTACAGTCGCCTCCACGTTTCATAAGCCGTAACGTCCTGGTTCGCGTTTCTGTCGCGACATACTTGCGACAAACTCCCACTCTACCAGAGGTTCAACAATATTTTTGCGATATTTTAACCACGCTGCGGTTTTTGAAAAAGAAAAAAAGAGAAATGTTTGCCGTTTTAACAAAAATTGCGACGAAAAATCATCGAGTAACGATCACTTCATTTTTTTCTCCTTTAAACTCGAGGAAGTTAATGAGAGTAAAATACGATTGAAATTTAAAAAAAATCGCGTCGAATATCCGCTCGGAATTGGCACTTGGAATAATGTTACTTTTCTTAACGAAATAGCTTCTTGAAACTATTTTTAATTTTAAGAAACTTAGATTAGGACGTCCTAGAGCGTTTACATGATACGCAGAGTACGGTTATGCTGTAGAGCTAACGCGATTTCGTAGAAGAAAGTAGCGATACGTTTCTTCGAGGAATTGAAGTCTCCTGCGTAGAACGTTCCGAGTACCATCGGTTTTGATTATAAAAACAAAGCCACTATACTGGTTCTTCTTAATCTAAGTATTCCATTTAGCACTTTTTTATTTTTCAAAATACCTTGAAATATTCGAAAAGTTGTATCTTTTATCTTCCAAGTAAATATAGCTTCAACTACTTTCAAATAGTAATATTATACAAATTATTACGAAATAGCGATTAAATATTTTAAATCAAATCAAGAGAAACAAAGATGGCACAAAGAGAATGATATAAAAGTTCAGATTTCTTCAGTTTCGAAAATGATGACATTGTAACATAGAACAGAGACTAAGAAAAAGAAAAACAACATTTGTAGAATTTAAAAATGTACATATGTAACGTTGACTTTTCTTTACACTTTTCTTAAAGAAAGAAGAGGGTACACTTGCCGTAGATTTAAAGTATATTCGCTTATAGTTTCCTAATAGTAACTGACATTTTAATACACGACAGAGACTAAGAAAAAGAAGAAAAACGTATAAATTGTTAAGTGATACATATGTTTTTGTATAATTTAGCGATGTACATATGTTGACTTAACAATGTACATATGTATTGCTTAACAATTTTCATATGTAACGTTGAATTTCTTTCCGCCTCTTTTTTAAAGAAGGAGAAAAAAGTACATTTAACGTAGATTTAAAGTATACTAATTTCCTAAAAGTAACTGACATTTTAATACACGACAGGGACTAAGAAAAAGAATACAAATATGTATATCACTTAACAAGGTACGTATGTAACGTTGAATTTGTTTTCCCTTTTTTGTTAAAGAAAAAAAGGTATACTTACCGTAGATTTAAAACATACTCGCTCATAGCATACTAATACTAACTGACATTTTAATACACGACAGAGACTAAAAGAAAGAATAAAAATATATATATCACTTAACAAGGTACGGATGTAACGTTGAATTTCTTCTTCCTTTTTTTTTTTTTTTTTTTTTTTTTTTGTGAAAAG